TAACCTAAGTGGCGCCACTCAGGTTTAACATTAGTCGGGTAAATAGCCAGGTATATAATTATCACCTGTCGTAGGATAACCTAAGTGGCGCCACTCAGGTTTAACATGAGTCGGGTAAATAACCAGGTATATAATTATCACCTGTCCTAGGATAACCTAAGTGGGGACACTCAGGTTTAACATTAGTCAGGTAAATAGCCAGGTATATAATTATCACCTGTCGTAGAATAACCTAAGTGGCGCCACTCAGGTTTAACATGAGTCGGGTAAATAACCAGGTATATAATTATCCCCTGTCCTAGGATAACCTAAGTGGCGCCACTCAGGCTTAACATTAGTCGGGTAAATAGCCAGGGATATAATTATCACCTGTCGTAGGATAACCTAAGTGGTGCCACTCAGGTTTAACATGAGTCGGGTAAATAACCAGGTATATAATTATCCCCTGTCCTAGGATAACCTAAGTGGCGCCACTCAGGCTTAACATTAGTCGGGTAAATAGCCAGGGATATAATTATCACCTGTCGTAGGATAACCTAAGTGGCGCCACTCAGGTTTAACATGAGTCGGGTAAATAACCAGGTATATAATTATCCCCTGTCCTAGGATAACCTAAGTGGCGCCACTCAGGCTTAACATTAGTCGGGTAAATAGCCAGGGATATAATTATCACCTGTCGTAGGATAACCTAAGTGGCGCCACTCAGGTTTAACATGAGTCGGGTAAATAACCAGGTATATAATTATCCCCTGTCCTAGGATAACCTAAGTGGCGCCACTCAGGTTTAACACTAGTCGAGTAAATAACCAGGTATATAATTATCACTTGTCCTAGGATAACCCTAGTGGGGACACTCAGGGTTAACATTAGTCAGGTAAATAACCAGGTATACAATTATCACCTGCCCTAGGATAACCCTAGTGGGGACACTCAGGTTTAACAGTAGTCAGGTAAATAACCAGGTATATAATTATCTCCTGTCCTAGGATAACCCTAGGGGGGACACTCAGGTTTAACATTAGTCAGGTAAATAAGCAGGTATACAATTATCACGTGTCCTAGGATAACCCTAGTGGGGATACTCAGGTTTAACATTAGTCAGGTAAATAACCAGGTATAAAATTATCACCTGTCCTAGGATAACCCTAGTGGTGCCACTCAGGTTTAACATTAGTCAGGTAAATAAGCAGGTATACAATTATCACGTGTCCTAGGATAACCCTAGTGGGGATACTCAGGTTTAACATTAGTCAGGTAAATAACCAAGTATACAATTATCACCTGACCTAGGATATAGTCAGGTGTAATACAATCAGGTAACCAGGCACATTACCACCTCCCTAGATCAGACAAAACCTGACTCGAAATTATACTCTCAGTCATTGTATTTATGTTTCAATGATAGTCACAATAACCTACACCAGGTATATAATTATCACCTGTCCTAGGATAACCTAAGTGGCGCCACTCAGGCTTAACATTAGTCGGGTAAATAGCCAGGGATATAATTATCACCTGTCGTAGGATAACCTAAGTGGTGCCACTCAGGTTTAACATGAGTCGGGTAAATAACCAGGTATATAATTATCACCTGTCCTAGGATAACCAAAGTGGCGCCACTCAGGTTTAACATTAGTCGGGTAAATAGCCAGGTATATAATTATCACCTGTCGTAGAATAACCTAAGTGGCGCCACTCAGGTTTAACATGAGTCGGGTAAATAACCAGGTATATAATTATCCCCTGTCCTAGGATAACCTAAGTGGCGCCACTCAGGGTTAACATTAGTCGGGGAAATAGCCAGGGATATAATTATCACCTGTCGTAGGATAACCTAAGTGGCGCCACTCAGGTTTAACATTAGTCGGGTAAATAACCAGGTATAAAATTATCACCTGTCCTAGGATAACCCTAGTGGTGCCACTCAGGTTTAACATTAGTCAGGTAAATAACCAGGTATACAATTATCACCTGACCTAGGATATACTCAGGTGTAATACAATCAGGTAACCAGGCACATTACCACCTCCCTAGATCAGACAAAACCTGACTCGAAATTATACTCTCAGTCATTGCATTTATGTTTCAATGATAGTCACAATAACCTACACCTCTTGGTCAAAGGTCAAATATGTGCAAAATTTAGACCATTGAAATATGTTCATGAATTCTGGAACAATAACTACATCACCTGCTGTGTGCTATATTTAGGCCACTATGACCTTCATCTCTTGGCCATTGAAATGTAAAGTAACAATACATATCTGTAGAAAAGGGTTAACATGTTTTGTTTAAAAAAAACAAATCTCTTTGTTCACAATAACTTGTGTTGAAAGTTGCATATATGAATTTGATAAAACAAAAATCTTTATTCTTTGTGTTGACAGATAGCCTTGTGGGAAGGGACACGCTACACCTTACAGTTCATCTTTCGCCATCGCCATGCCGACAAACAGCTACAACAGCCATCGTGGTCATCTGATCTTACAGTGCCTATAGACTTTGCAGGTCATCCTCCATGTATAAACGATTCATCCAACATGTATCAACATTCATATGAAGATTTTTAATCCTGTACCATTTCATCATGATGCATGAAATTATTTTTAGCCATCATCTCATGATATATTGTGACATATAAACTCATCCTGACATTTGTGTACTGTTCTGTTCTTGTGAAATTTTTCCTGATTTTATAAATCCGGTCAGTGCCGTTGAATCTGCAATTTCAGAAACACTAGTTGAATTTATGATATCTACAATTCAACTGGTTGAATGAATCATGCCTGCTGTTCATTCGGTTGAATATGACATTTCTGCAATTAACTGATTGAGCATGCATTCACATTAATGAAATATGGATTGAATACATTTTAACTGGTTGAATTGTCAATATCTTTGGTCCCATCTTGAGATGGAACCTAAAGTTGTGTTGAATATGCAGTTCAGCTGGTTGAATTACTTTTACAGTACGACTGGTTCTGAGGTTACACATGTTATTACAGGAACTTTAACTTATTAAACCCCTGAAGACATATTTGAACTTTTCCAATTCAAAGGTTGGAATAGTTCATTATGAAGTTTCAGGGGTATGCAGTTCCACTCTTACTATTCTAGTGTGACATAACAAGGATGAGTTCAGTTATTCAAGCCGGTAAACAAGCTCTATGTTAATTTTTTCTTTGATTTTAAATTGCAATGTTCACAAAACGTAATGGATAAATGTAAGCTTATGTAATCATGTACGGTATAACGTCAACCTTCTTTCTGTCGAGGAAAGAAGGACTAGAAACCAGATTGTTAACTGAATCGGGATCCATGGGGGATTTGCAATAGAAGTTGTTAATATATGATTTTGTAGATAGATTCCATATAGATTTGAGTTAAATCTTTTAAAGATAAGTTAATTTTGTAATAAGTGTACAGTTAATTCAAATACCTAACTATATGATAATATTTGCATGTTATGTTAAACATACTGAAAATGGTGTCAGAGATTGTCATGGAAGCAATTCTGGAATTCTTTGAAAAAAGTTTCAAGGAAAATCATCAAGGATTTATTTCATGATTGGTATATTCAACTAATCCCAGCTATTGGTCCTGTATGGGAGTCTGGAGTACATGGTTATTACGTGGAATGCCTTTTGCTGGGCTAACACAGATCTATAATTTAATTTAAGTGCCCACACGTAGTTATGCTTAATAAATTTCCAAATATACAGAGAAATTTATTGGTGAAAATTTGAGTGAATAGCTTACATTGATTGCAGATGAACAAACAATATTGATATGTTGCTTGAGTTGCACTTTAGCCTCTCTTGAGTCCTTTTAAGTTGCATTTTATTATTTTGAATGATCTTTGTTTTTTATATCATTATAAGCTACGGTATGTTAGGTTGTTCCTTAGGACCCTTGGCAGTGTGTCATAACATAGCAAGTCATGGATTTAGAGAACTTTTTATTTCGACTAAAACATGATGACAACTATGTTAATATAGATTATTGATAAGTATTTTTTCTATAGGGAATGAACTTGAAACAATGGCTTGTACATAGACTTCTTTGTTGAAAACTTAGTGAGGGCAGCTACTAATTAATGAAAGCTGGATGAACTCTGGGAGATAACTCTGTCAAATCCATAATTAAACTGAAGTGGATTTCTTTTTTGTCTCAAAGTTGCCATACTCACCAAATTTCCTCTTTCAATTAATAGAACATTAAAAAAAAATCGTAATCTATAAACCAGACTTTAAAGTCAATGAATGTGCTAGATATGTATTTCACTGTAGAATCAGGGGACATGAGTTATCTCCACTTGTCTTCGTCTATAAGTAGTCAAGGTTTCGATAGCCAATTGACATGGCAACAGGAGGTAAGGTGACTTATTTCCAGTAACAAGAGTGCTGTATCTTAATAATATTGTTAATCCTGTCTTTGCTGACAGTAATATGTTGCCATAGTGATTGCTTCCTTTCCTGCCCATTATGACCTCTGGATAGGATTTTTAAATGTCCTCATCGGTCCATACATTTCTAGATTTAGTCCATTTTGTGACCCTGAGGCACTTTGTGATTTATGCTGAGTAGTGAATAAAACAGCTGATTAGGATCCAAGTCATCAGAGTTCAAGGTCAAAGTTAGGACAATGACAGTTCAAGGTCAAAGTTAGGACAATGACAGTTCAAGGTTACTGTAAGGATTATAAGAGTTCAAAGTTAGAGTAACCTTTTTTTTCCATGTCAGATATTGAAGTTCCAGTTGTGTTTTATCAGTCATAGTGAAATCCTGATTGGTTTGCAATATTAGCAATTTGCTTACAAGGACATTACTATGTCAAGCAAACTGTCATGATACTGTTTTTGTAGTCACGCATTGAGTACCTGTTTTTTATGCTGTAGATCTTCTGAATATCTTGTTTCAGAAGTCTGAAATTTGTTTTATATTACTATTATTATTCGCTATTTAAGTTTCTTTTCGTAGAAAATTATTGCTCAAATGTTGTCTTGCTTTTATTATTAATCATTTATTTTCTGTTCTGTCTTAAGATAACCAATATGCAGTAATGGTGTCAAGTATAAACTTTTAATTCAAATGATCACTAGAAGGTGATGGCTACACTACTAATATCTAATGGACAAAAAAAAAGTGTGTCTTGAGTTTATCTCCCATTATTTAATGTGCCCGCACACAGTTTAATATTTCCTTGCTATTTTTGTTGAAATAAATAACAGACATTGTGCCAAAATTTATCATAATCGGAAAGAAAATGACAAAAATCGGACAGAAGATATTTATTTGGGATCATTACCGCATACTTGTGTTTCTGTAAGCCTTGAAAAGGCGCCTCTTCTTTAAATAACCAATGCATATTGATGAAGCCTAACATGGGCTCTCTTCTCGCAGTGTGGGGAAAGGGAGCTTACTGGTGAGGCTATATATAACAACTGTAGATCAATTTAATTTTTATTTGTACAAAATCACAAAATAAAATAATTTTTAACTTGTAGTTGTTGTCTTTGTTATGTCTTATTAAGATAATATATAGAAGCAGAAGCTTGAGGTCATAGAAATATTATATTTACCTGCCTGTTCATTTCAGTAATCTCTATAATACAATTCATACGTAAGTATCTCTGGGTTACTTTTCTCTCCTATATTCATCAAACTTGAGGAAATGCAAGTAAATCATATTTAGAAGAAAAAAATTGAGTTAACTGATACATTTTGCACGTTTACTGTATTTGATAAACTGTCTTTCAGAGTATTGCTTATTCAAGTGCATAGTACCTGTTTCAATGTACATGAAGATCTAATATAGTAAAAACATTATTACAAAATGTAAAACCATCGTTTGTTTACTAACTCATAGTACAGTAATGCTTGCTTATATAGCTCTGGATTCCTATTGTCCAATTCTCTGTTCCTGAATGGATCTGGATGTCAGTACTGGTCTAGTTACATCAATAGTTCTGCTGTCAATACTGGTCTAGGTACATCAATAGTTCTGGATGTCAGTACTGGTCTAGTTACATCAATAGTTCTGCTGTCAATACTGGTCTAGTTACATCAATAGTTCTGCTATTCAGTATGTATACGCTAGTTTTTCAGGATAGCGGGGGTTACTAATAAACTACCGGTACAAGATCATTTTTGATCTAATAAATACACAATACATGAATCTCGATCAAGGGTGTAGCTGGGATATAAATCTTGTGTAGGCACTTGAACAATTGACTGATAAATGTTTATATTTGTAGTTTAAGGCAATAGGTTGGTGTCACCATTTCTCAGTAGAATTTCAAATTTTCTAGTTATATTGCTTTGAAGTAAAGAATATTTTCGGCCACATTTTTTTTTTATACGTTGTCAGAATTTTTAGGATTTTAAATGGAAATTTAAGTAAAAAGGAGCGAATTTTTATGGGGGGAAAAAAGAAAAACCTTTTTTTGCAAAATAATGTCAATAAAAATGATACTGCCATAGATTAGTATTGTATCAATGTATGTCAATTTCATAAATGCTGAAATTGTGTAAAATTAATTATCTATAAATGATTAAAAATTGATTATTTTTTTTTATAATAAAACCATATACACATAGTAATTGCATGTAAGAGTTATCTTTCTTTAAAAACTTCATAGTCGTCAAATATGTAGCCGGTTCCCTGAAGTACAGAAAAATGGACACGTATGACTCGTTGATTAAAAAAAAAACGAATTAATGCCCGAGTTGCTTTGAAATACTTTAATATTGAGAGAACACCCTGTTCTGTCAATAAAAAACATACAATATTCATCACAACTCTAGACTCATTAGAATATGCGGAACTTGTGATACTGTCTCCCTACATGGATTTTCGACTAGGGATGTACTTCTATTTCCGTTTATCAATACACTCATTCGACCTTAACGACAATTGTTTTGAAGTTTAAATACAATCAGTTGACAAGTATACTGGCGGGCTTTTAGGTCACCTGAGCTTTAGCTTTTTTTCCGGGTCGATCAAAAATCCAATTTGGCCGCTAGGGCCAGCCATTTAAAAAAAAACTATTTCAAACTTATAAGTCAAGTTCTACTGGGCCAATCTAACTGAATCTTGGTAGGAATGATCAACTTATGTTCTTGACAAAGTGTTGTTATTTTTGGGGTCGATCAGAAATCCAAAATGGCTATCACAGCCGTCATTTTAAAAAAAAGAATTCTAACTTAAAGTCAAGTTCTATGGGGCCAATTTCACTGAAACTTGGTAGGAATGACCACCAATCTAGCTGAAACTTGGTAGGAATGATCAACTGATGTTCTTGACAAAGTGTTGTTATTTTTGGGGTCAATCAGAAATCCAATATGGCTGTCACAGACGCCATTTAAATAAACTATTTCTAACTTAAAGTCAAGTTCTATGGGACCAATTTCACTGAAACTTGGTAGGAATGATCAACTCATGGTCCTGGCAAACTTAACTTAAAGTTATTATTATCTCCACTTCATATTTCAACAACAAAAATAATACTGTATGACCCATGAGAACGCTAAGGCCCATGAGACCGCTAAGGCCCATGGGCCTCTTGTTTAATTTAATGAATGAGTGGTAATGATCTTAATACACTGTATGGCGATATTGGCAGGAGTTTTCAACTATTTCTCACCGACAATATCTTTTAAAATAATATATAAACGAATTGTTATCCAAAAAATTTAAACTAAATTCAACTTTTCATTGGTGGGAGGGTGGTTCCTAGTATCAAAGAGCCAACAAAGTTACAGTGTGAACTCAAAATCGATAAAATTGGGGGGAAATATGAACAAAGGCATGGAGACCCTTGAAAAATACAAGTAGAATAGGACCATGTGGCCTAGAAGGGTAAGCGTCTTCTGCGTCATCGATGACATACAGCATTTAAATCTAGGTAGTTCTGTTACGTCCTCGTCATGAGCATTTGGGAAGTGACAACAAAACCCCTATAATGAACATAATTAAAAAACATCGGCCTTCATATCACACAAAGAAATAGCCTATTTCACTATTACATGTAATTTATTATGGCGACCATAACACTTGCCAATAGACTACATTAATCTGCGTCTTCGGAAACTGTGCTGTCGGTAGTCGAAATCTGTGATATCAGGATGGTTGAAGAGCCAGTAGTTTCTTTAATTTCAAGCTCGAGAGGGTACATAAGCTCTACACAAGCTCGGGAGGGTACATAAGCTCTAACCAAGCTCGGGAGGGTACAAAAGCTCTACACAAGCTCGGGAGGGTACACAAGATCGATGTGGTCAATATATTTTTTGTTATTTAACAAGACAACACATCTCGCCGATAGGAATACCTACAGACTGCTCACTGATGGAACGTTTTGCTGAACTCGTCAACGATATTTTCAAATAGGAACACAAACATTCATCTATTTTAGTCTTTGTTGTGTTATTCACAAAATATGGTCCAAAACTATGTACAATCATACTTGTATATCGCAGTTCGCCACTCTTTTCGGAAAGAAAGTTCTCATAATAAAAGAACGAATGTGTTCCGTCTGTTTGGTATGACGAATGGAAGTTTAAAGGATGCATTTTTGAGAAGAGGATGGCATAACGGTTTGGTTGAAAAAGTTGTGTATAAGGATATTTGTAAAATTTCGGAATTAAATACAAACAGGGCAGGTCTGTATCCTTATCGTTAATGGGTAGAAGGAGAGATTGTAATACAGAAGCGTGATAAGCTAGTTTTTCGTTTGCGCAGACATAGATTAAAATATTAAATGCTTTGTCTGCAAAGTCAAATACATGCGAATTGTTGAGTGTGATTTGCACATCGGGGTCAGGAAATATATGCTTTGTGTTTTCCTTCCGGACTAAATCATCTTAATTACTTAAGAAACTAAGTACTTACAGGGTAGAGGCTGTCGTCCCATCGTGCAAGGAGAATGGTCACCTTGTCATGATCTGCAAGCCTACCCCCGACTGATATCCTATGCGTGCAATTTAAAGATTGACGCCTTACTTTGAGTAGCCTCGGAAGAGGAGACAGTTTCACTGTGAGAGGCATTCTATGACTGGGTCTCTGAACTTTTGATATTTAGAATTCTCGGGACCACAAACTTGTTCATCGTTGTGGCTTTGTCATTATTTTTAAAATAAGCTTGAAAGTTGTATAGCTCTTTCGTCTATTACAAGATTTTATGAGTGAAAAAAACCCAACTTAAACTTGTCTTTTCGTACTTTGTACTAGACCTATACAAAACGTCCTGGATATAGTATAATCTTTAAATTAAATGCATGCACATATTTGATTTTTCAACTACTTGAAATAACACTTACAAAAAAACAAACACTTGGCAAAACTATGTGTAGGCACGTGCCTACTCGAGCCTAAGGCAACTACGCTACTGTCTGATGGTGTAAAAACTACAATTTTCAAACAATATCTGACTTATCAATAGTTGTATGTACGTCCTTGTCCAGCTCAATGCTAACCTAATCTGTTTTGAGATGAATCTACTGTTGGTGTCGAAACTACATGCCAGTACTTGTAAATAACTAAAATGATAATATAAGATATCTTAAATAGAATAACTTGTGTTGAAAGTAAACGCATACCCCAAGAAAAAATCATAAAATGTTACTATTTCCGATTACAAAATAAAGTTAATTGAGTGGGTAAATATCATGCACATTTTTTTAACTCGAAAAACGTAGTACCATTTTTGGCATCTTATAATATCAGTTAAGTTTCAGTTGTTTGAGATATTGGAAATGTACACATTATTTTGGTCCGTTTGGTTACATCTTAGGTACACTTAATGATCAAATTGGTAGAATAAATATATGATTTATGGGTTTACGTCAATTACGTAAAACTTGAATGTTTGAAAATTCCTTTGTACGCCACCATCTTAAAACTTTTAGAAAAAGCGTGTATAATAAACAAGGTTAATGTATTAGTTTAGTTATATTAGAATAATAGCCGAGCCGTGGCTTACAAGTTCCTTTCTATTGACATATTTTTCCCACAATATTATTTATATAAGTCGTTTGAAATGTTCAGCCTATAGTGAAGCATACAGTCTTCAGTGTTCTCTTGGACACGGTTTAATGAAGAGAACATAATTATTTTTCATTACTAAACGTGACTACGAATTAAACAGGTGGAAAAGAACTCAGCGTATAGGTCCAGGCCGCGTAGCTTCCTTGTCTATAAAAAGATCAGTAAAAACAACCAGGAAGTCTAAAGACGTCACGGAATAATTGTCCTTATACACTGCACTGAAGAATTGTGTTACGCTTGAAATATTATACACGAAGGCGGTACATCCTCGGTTCTGAGGATAATCATTTTTTGTGAAAAGGAAATTAAAGTGTTTCTTTGAAGTTGTAATTTGACAACATTTCCCCAATCTGATGGGCTCCGAAAGTATTTCGTGTAAAAATCAATATTTTTACTTCCTCTGTAATCAGGTCCATTTCATTCGGCGATAATTTGTCAACTTTCTGTAAACATATTCTTTAAACGTTAACAATAAAGACTAAGAAATGTTAAAATTAAACAAAATTCTAATTGCATTAAAATTAGTATACTTTTTCACCGCCGAACAGAACGAGACGAATAATTGTTGTCCGAGTTCCAAACTGTATGCCATGATGATGCTCATCTATATCTATACCGGTATATGTATACATGTAAATGATTGACATAACATAATATAAAGCCCGCAATCCATCTACCAAAATTAGCACACACCCAGGTATAACTTTGGAATAGGATATATGTCGGTGCCAAGTTGAGTGTGACTGATTATATTTCTAACTAAAGTTGGATTACTTTGTACTTTGTTACCTTATTTTGCCTTTCTTATTTGCTTCCATAGTGGTTTGTTTTTCTGATATTTTGGATTACACCGTGATAATGTAATTCTATAATGTATAATAGGTGATGTCTGTTATGTTGTCCCTACCCTCACACAGAACAAAACCCCCAAAGAAACACAAGTAATAACAACACTGTCCCTCGTCCCCACCGAAAACACACACGTTATTTGAAGTTAATGATCTGTTTAATGTAGACACAAGTTGTAAGTAATATAAAAAAAATGATTACATTCAATAATAAAAGATAAACATTTTTCCTTTGGTATGATGAGTGAAAATAATTTTGTATTTTAAAATGTTGAATAGTTTATCATAGTAATTACCCATTATCCACTATTGTTTGTTATGGACTAAAATAGCATCTGTGATACAATATTTGTAATATTGTTTCATAGCTTGGATTTATCTCACCAAGTTAATACGATATCTTATACATATACTGGGTCAATTTCCGGAATACATGTTTAGTTGGTTCCAGCTGAACGGCAGTGTTCCGACCTATTTCAGACAAGCCATTAATATCCAAGTCCCTTGCCGTAAACCAAACATCTATGAACGCTGTGACATCTGATTGCATATGCTTCATTTTTATTGTACTTTTCAAACCGTACGATACACAGATCAGACTATTTATATACACAATCGGTGCGTTATTCGATCGCCACCGGTTTGTAACTCTATAATAGATATACATGTGTTAGTTTACTTGTGCGATTTTCTTCTATTTTGTTTCACGAACATTCTGTACTATTTCAGCATCTGAACAATCGCTAAACTAAGAACACGCATTCCATTCGGGGAAAAAACGCAGCTCAATGGAAATCTGAAGACGATGTCAACTTCAGATCGAGGCAAAAATAAAGCTGTCTTTTTGGTCAGCAACTTCAGAAGGTCAATTTGTTCTTTTTATTGACAAGGAGACCAGCTGAATTTCTTCATTACGAGGTTCAATGAAGCGGTCACTGGGATATGAACTCAATCTATGTGTATGATACAGCGACTGGATGTAGATATCTAGTATAGGTTTACCGTTACGAGATATACTTTCTCGGTGTTGATTCGTATCATTTGTTTACATGTGTGGCATAGATATTTTCGCCTGCTTTCCTTGTATTAGATAAGTGCTCTTTCCTCTTCTTATTCGGCATTTCATAACTGTCAAAATTATACTTTCCGAAATCTGTAAATCCCTCTGCGCGACTCTTCCGAAAGTCGTCTGTTCCTCTATTTCTTGACTTTCCTAAGTCACCGTCATCCCATTGGGGGAAATTCCAGTCGTTATCCGTTCCCGAAGGTTTGGGTGAATGTTTCTCCGCGCCAAATGTTCGATCCCTGTTGTAATCATCTGACTGCCACTTCCGGCTTTTGCCAAGGTTGTCCACTTCCCACTGGCCTGGCTTCTTCACACGATCGTCCTCCCAATCTGTCCTGTTCTCTCTTATTTCATCAGCATGCTTATAGCGACTTTTCCTCAAGTCATCTGCGTACCATCTTCGATTTTTTTCGTCGTCGTTTGCCTCACTCTTCAGGTGTTTATCGTACTGGTCCGGTGACCTTCTCTGATCTACCTCAGGTCCAAGTCCCCGAGTTCTTCTGAAATCAGCGTCATCCTTGGTAGAAAATTCATCTTTTGTCGACGAAACGTCCTGTTCCGATTTGGCAATGGCATTTGACATTGTCTCAAGAAATTCCGAAACATTGGCATTCATTGATGTCTTTGCTCTTGGTATTCCAAAAACAAAGTACATATTTTCCGGAAGAATGTTAAAATGTTGAACGCCATGTCCTTTTGCACCATATTCGTTTTGGAGTCGTCTGCCATTTGTGTCACTTGCAGGGTCAACTATTACGGAAGTAACCATACTGTCCATAGGAAGATCTAATCGTCTTGTAAATTCTTTGTTGGAATCCCTTTCTTTTCGGACTTCTTGTGATATTTCACGGTTGACCCAAAGTCTAAACATTGTCCACCTATGGATTTTATCCTTTCCCATGCCGTCGGTTGAGTTTTGCACTATCGGGGCATCCATTGGATCTTCCTAAAACGAACAAGGTAATTGTTGATGTAGGACATCTGGCGGATGTACGAGGCTAATATAAACTAGATATACCAAACAACCTACTGGTTAGTACTATACATTGTCGAAGCAATAATGATGACCACCGCATATATTCTATAACATTACTGGCAGTTTTTACGATACCTTGTTTATCTAAACAACTGACAGTACGTATGATAGTGTCGCTTTATTGAGATATACGTTGAGGTTTCATTCAATACCAACGTTTTTTAGAGACTTTAGTTATCAATAGAGATACCTATTTGGATTTCCTTCGATAGTCACTGTTATTTTGAGACCTTGGTTATCTAAAGACACATTGGGGTTTCATTCAATTCCGACGGTCATTTGGAGATTTTGGTTATCTATGAAGATACCCATTGGGATTTCCTTCAATACTCGCTGTTATTTTGAGACCTTGATTATCGAGAGAAACATTCATTGGTATTCCCTGTATCTTACATTGAGCTACTTTCTAATTATCGAGACAGCCACCGATACTTTCAATTAGTATCATATCTTGAACAGCCAATTTCTAACCTATGCAAATGTAGCATTATATACGCTCGCATACCTTAGATTGGAATTTGCTGGGTTCTGGGTGTTGCGCATGCGCAACACGCGTTCCTCTTATGTTCTTATTTACAAAATCTGCCTTTTGTGGGACCGGATTGGATTCCTCGTACTTTCTGCCGTTTTGAATGTCGTCTGCCTGTTCACGATACGTTTTTCCGTCAGGCAGGACTCGGTAGGTAACAGCTCTCTGAAAACAAATGAAAGAGTTTATTGAAACGTTAATGATATATGAGGTAACATGTCGATATTTAAGACGACGTCACCGTAACCATGAATGGTGTTCTTACAATGTTTAAAAGTTTCAGGTTACGCTAAACTATCTGTCATCATTTTTGTTTAAAACGAAAAATGACTTTAAACAAAATTGCTTTTTCATACTTGTTTTGGCTTATGTAGCCTTTCTTCTTAATATAACATTTAAATTGAGCATCAGGTACACGCTTACTTAACCATTATACAGTTTTCATTAAACAAAAATACAGTTTGTTCAATTACGATTTACAATGATTCGTAAAAAAAAAGTGGTACCAATATATTAAGTCGCAAGATTAAAATGTAAACTTTAATTTATATAACAACGATTATGAAACAGATTATTTCAACTGGTATCAATCACTCACGTTTCCCCGGATGTTAGCGCGCGTGGGGTCTTAATGTGAGAGGAAACCGAAGTACCCGAAGAAAGTCCAGGTGGTTGGGCATGTGAATCTTACTCGGACCGCCTTGGTAAAAGGCTGGTGCGTTATCCATTGTCTTAACTCTATGCATATTCCAGTCGGACACAATTACGAATTATCAGTAACTTTTGTATAAGACAATATAAAATTTAGAAATACGTTAAGAAAATGTCACTTCACTGTCATATAACCTCTCAAACTCATCAATTTCTCTTTACATCATTCGCATAATCACAAAAAATATTTTCAATAAAAAGTCTAAAGATTTTTTTTTCAATTAAGTGTGGACGTGTCTCAACAAGGATATCCGATACATAACATTCCACAAATAAAACTTAATACGGTGGTGTCTATTTCTGATGACATAAGACACAAATATTCCTGAATAGAGAACAATGCCTAGCTTTTGTACCCGTCCTCTGCAGCTGAAGGGTATATATTCGAAATCAAGTTACCCAGGTATCACACGACAACCTAAGTCGATGAAGGCCATACCCACTACGCCAACCAAAACCAGAACACGTCCTACTATGCTTTTTATCTACACTGTTTAAATTAGCAAACACAACCTTATAACGGGGTCCATTCTCAATGACCGATACATTAACTCTTTCGTCATGTATGCAGCACGTGTTACTATGGAGTGATGCGTGTAAAATGAGACTCGTACGACCTGATTGTGTCATTCTGGATCTACGCATACATTGCTTAGTAAAATATCTGTAGTTCGTTATATCTTTAGCAATACAGTGTGTAGTTACGGAGAAGAAGGTTAAGAAATGGAAATGAAACCTTCGAAAACAGCACCCAGAACTAATTGTTACCTAACACGAATGGCAATAATCACAAAAGGACATCACTTACTACTGTAAATCAACATAAAAAATAAGAGAGTAGATCATTAACAACGCTGTAGAAAAAGTGACCCTGTTGTTTTGAAATCAAATGTACAGTGACTTCATCTATTACTCACATATTTACCGGTACCTTAATATGACACAGATACATTGTCTTTCTATGGGATATCGACTATAACTTCCTACATGTCTCCCGTTAAATAAAATACCTTTAACTTAGGAAGACATCTACTTATGTTGCATTTACTTGGTTTATGGGAAATTTGCTGTAGTTTCCCCATGACTTACGGCTAGTATGATCCTTTCTATGGAAAATTCGCTGTACCTTCCCCATGACTTACGGCTAGTATGGCGCACTGTCCTTTCTATGGAAAATTCGCTGTACCTTCCCCATGACTTACGGCTAGTATGAAACATTGTCCTTTCTATGGGGAATTTGCTGTAGCTTCCCCATGACTTACGGCTAGTATGGCACATTGTCCTTTCTATGGGGAATTCGCTGTAGCTTCCCTCATAACTTACGGCTAGTATGGCACATTGTCCTTTCTATGGGGAATTCGCTGTACCTTCCCCATGACTAACGGCTAGTATGAAACATTGTCATTTCTATGAGGAATTCGCTGTAGCTTCCCCCATAACTTACGGCTAGTATGAAACATTGTCCTTTCTATAAGAAATTCTCTGTACCGTCTTTCATAACATATGGGTAGTATGACATTTTGTGTATCTATGAGACATATGCTATAACTCCCTCCATGACTTCATGTCAGTATGACACACTGTCTCTAGGCTATGGGGACACACACTTCAGTTTCCTACTTGACTTACCGTAGCATGATTTATTGTGTATCATCTATGAGAAACTATCTGGCCCTTACCGAATGATTTACGGCTAGTAAGAGATGTTTTCTTATTGATGGTGATTATTCTTTCTTATCAATGGGACAAGAACTAAAACTACTTTCCTGACTTATCACTACCCTGACTTATTCTCTGTGATCTATGCAACATTCACTTTAAATTCCTTTAGTAATTCCAGGTAGTCTTTTATATGGTGACATACCTGTGGCAGTATTTCGTTTGGTTCTGGTTGTTGCACGTGCGTTACACGCGTTCCTCTTATGTTCCGATCGTGTGGGAAAACGTGCGGTTTTGTTGGGTCTACAACATCTCGGTTTCGTTGGTGACTGGCTTGCTCATACTTCCTGTTATACTGTTCGTCGTCTGACTGATCACGATATGTTTTACCGTCAGATTGGACTCGGTAGGTAGCAGGTCTCTGAAAACACATAGATCTAATAACGTATTTATAGAAACCAACGAACAAGATGCTTTAGGGTATACCCTAAACTGTTTACGGCAGTCAGTCGGGTTAATAACGCTCTACAAATATATCTTGATATGTTAGAATCCTGATCTGATGACAATGTAGACCTACATTGCGTGTCTATTTATTTTACCTGTCCCTTTCAAAAGAACAGTGGCTATTCGGATAGTCACGTGACCCAGGTATTAAGTAACACTACACGTCAGTGGATGACATTCACACCACATTAAGCGCAGACTGGGTATTCCCATCCTACGTGGTGCAGATACCTTGACGATACCTGTCTACATTACACAGATTATCATGGGTTCTCATCACTACATGAATACTCATGGATTCTTATGAATTCATAAAGTCAATTAACACAATATTACCTTTCACAGTAAACAGTAATCATAGCACACGGTTAGGTTATCCAGGTTGCGTATTTAATAATGAGTGACATCACATTGTAAAGGATGTCCACTCTCATTGACCAATATTTATACATACGGGAGCTCTTCAACACTAAGCAATATATAAACTTTGTCATTGGATGTACTGTGTTGTTACACATTATATATACATGTAAAACTGGAACAAGTAAGACCTGATAGGTTCAATTTGGATCTAAACCACACAGATGGAAATGTCGTCATTAGTCAGATATTAACAGATATTTGTTATGTCTACAACGGTAGAGTGTGTAGGTAGAGAGTAGAAAGATAATATTTAGAAAACGAGCATGCGAAAAAGCACCCAAGCCTAATGACTATTCCAACCACATGGTGAGAATACAAAAGAACACAACTGAATGAAAAGAACGAATCTCAAAAAAGATCTTAAATGACGATATTTTCCTTCTGTAAATATATAGTAAAGTAATAATACTTGTCCTTAGGATATGGTGTAATAAGATCAATTGTCCTTCTGTATATAGTAAAGTAAGATACATTATCCTGCGTATATTGTATAATAAGATCAATTGTCTTAGTATATTTTGTTGTAATATCAATTTTCCTTCTATATATAGTAAAGTAAGATCAATTGTTCTTGGGATATGGTGTAGTAAGATCAATTGTCATTAGTATATTGTGTAGTAAGATCAAGTGTTCTTAGTTTATTGTGTTGTAAGATCAATTTTCCTTCTTTATATAGCAAAGTAAGATCAATTGTCCTTGGGATATGGTGTAGTAAGATCAATTGTCCTTGGGATATGTTGTAGTAAGATCAATTGTCCTGAGTATATTGTGTAGTAAGATCAATTGTCCTTAGTATATTGTGTAGTAAGACCAATTGTCCTTCTGTATATAGTAAAGTAAGAAAGATTATCCTGAGTATAGTATGTAATAACATCGTTTGTCGTAGTATATGGTGTAGTAAGATCAATTTTCTTCTGTATATAGTAAAGTAAGATCAATTGTTCTTATTATATTGTGTAGCAAGATCAAGTTCTCTTCTGTATATAGTAAAGTAAGATCAATTGTCCTTGGGATATGGTGGAGTAAGATCAATTGCCCTTAGTATATGGTGTAGTAAGATCAATTGTCCTTCTGCATATAGCAAAGTAAGATTAAATTATCCTGAGTATATTGTGTAATAATATCAATTGTCTTCGTATATTGTGTTGTAAGATCAATTTTCCTTCTATATATAATAAAGTAAGATCAATTGTACTTGGGATATGGTGTAATAAGATCAATTGTCCTCAGAATATTGTGTAGTAAGATCAAGTGTCCTTAGTATATGTTGTAGTTAGACCAATTGTCCTTCTGTATAAAGTAAAGTAAGATCAATTGTCCTTGGAATATGGTGTAGTAAGATCAAATGTCCTTAGTATATTGTGTAGGAAGATCAATTGTCCTTAGTATATGGTGTAGTAAGACCAATTGTCCTTCTGTATATAGTAAGGTAAGATAGATTATCCTGAGTACAGTATGTAATAACATCAATTGTCTAAGTATATTGTGTAGTAAGATCAATTTTTCTTCTGTATATAGTAAAGTAAGATCAATTGTCCTTGGGATATTGTGTAGTAATATCAATTGTCCTTAGTATATGGTGTAGTAAGATCAATTGTCCTTCTGTATATAATAAAGTAAGATTAAATTATCCTGAGTATATTGTGTAATAATATCAATTGTTTTCGCATATTGTGTGGTAAGATCAATTTTCCTTCTATATATAGTAAAGTAAGATCAATTGTCCTTGGGATATGGTGTAGTAAGATCAATTGTCTTAGTATATTGTGTAGTAAGATCAATTGTCCTTAGTATATAGTGTAGTAAGATCAATTGTCCTTAGTATATTGTGTAGTAAGATCAATTGTCCTTAGTATATGGTGTAGTAAGACCAATTGTCCTTCTGTATATAGTAAGGTAAGATAGATTATCCTGAGTATAGTATTAAATAACATCAATTGTCTTAGTATATTGTGTAGTAAGATCAATTTTTCTTCTGTATATAGTAAAGTAAGATCAATTGTCCTTGGGATATTGTGTAGTAAGATCAATTGTCCTTAGTATATGGTGTAGTAAGATCAATTGTCCTTCTGTATAACGTAAAGTAAGATTAAATTATCCTGAGTATATTGTGTAAAAATAGTATAATGGTGTAGTAAAATCAATTGTCTTAGTATATTGTGTAGTAAGATCAATTGTCCTTAGTATATTGTGTAGTAAGATCAATTGTCCTTAGTATATGGTGTAGTAAGATCAATTGTCATTAATATAATGGTGTAGTAAAATAATTGTCTTAGTATATTGTGTAGTAAGATCAATTGTCTTTAGTATATTGTGTAGTAAGATCGATTGTCATTAGTATATTTTGAAGTAAGAACCATTGTCCTTCTGCATATAGTAAAGTAGGATCAAGTGTCCTCCAGTAGATGATGTTGTATGATAAATTGTCGTATCTATGTAAACAATCTACAAGAACAATCAAATCAATGCATATGTAGCCCTTTGTTAGGTAACATACCTGTGACTGTATTTTGATTGGCTCAGTGTATTTCACGTTCATGGTACGCGTTCCCCTTATGTTTCTATCTTGCGTTGTCGATGGGTTCACAACATCTCGGTTATGTGGAAGATTGACTTGTTCATATTTTCTGTCATTCTGGTCGTTGTTTATCTCTTCACGATAGGTATTACCGTCAGGGTTGACTCGGTATGTCACATGTCGCTGGCAAAACATGATAACATAGTATGATATATTTACTGAAATCAGTGAAACAAGCTTTAACTTTTGTATGGACTAAAATGTTCTCACCACAAAAAACAGTTGGATGTATAACGGTCTACAAATGAATCTTATTTGATCTGATAATTAACTGATAATTTCATGGAGAGAGCACACTATATATTTCTTGTATCCCTCTTCCTAAACAGAACAATGTCTACTCGGAATCACGTGACCCTAACAAGGACAAACCGTTGATGTTTTTCTAAACTTCAACACGCGAAGTCGGGAACACGACAGAACCTTTAGTCGTTAATGATAACGGATATTTAACATTCCAGGATAATTACATGCATTTAATGTTGAGTGACGTCACAATCAACATTTAAAATCTGTCATTGTATACAAGACGTACCGATAAGCAGGTATTTATGTAATAATACAATAACATAACCAGCTTGTCATCGTAAATGGGAGTCATTCCTCAAAACAGTTGTGGACTAATGTTCCATATTGAGAGGGAAAAGTGTCACATTAACTACTAGTTGGTGGAGGAAAACAGCTATAATCATATAAAAACCTTTATCACACTCAAACTAAAGCCATATGTTTAACATAATGTCTTTATATTCATGAATCCCATCGACCCCAACATTTTCGTTTTACCGGACATTTCATCACCTCCAACTCTGGAAAATATACGGTTTACCCAGTGCTACATACAATTAAAGAAACCATTCAGGTATGTGTTTTAAATAAAGTCGCACCGAAAGTCCCTCAACAGAGACGAGAGGCAAGGCTTCTCTTCTGTATACCAATGACTAATGTTGTCATATCGCATCTTATTGATTCCAATAGACTCACGACCAAATAATTCAGTCGAAATATACACAGATACATATACCTCACTTTACTATTGTCAAATTTTAAAGAATATTTTTCCCACCTCTGTGTCTGTTCTTTAAATCGGTTTTATCTCTTTCACACTAATTTGCGTTGCTATATATACACTTTTGGTCTGTTTAAATAGGTAAATAAACGTTTTCTATTTTTTTAAATCATCTCTAAAAAGATATGGATCATTTCTACTATACAACGAAAACAAAATTAAGTCAAATCTCTCTGAAAGTACCTGTTCCGGGTAAGTGGGAGGCCTTTGGTGGTCATCCATTCCTTTCTGATAAGGACGAAACCCTGACTGAAAGAAAGAAAATAGAAAATAAAAGTATTACATAGGGTTTTTGACGGGGGCATCACCAGTTATTCATATATAACACCAAACACGTGTCAGAAGATCGCATGTAGGGCGTTATAACTTTTGACACATTCATTAACGCTTAATGTACATAAATCCAACTCTGACATCCTTTAAAGGGGTATATCTACATGAAACTGTAAAAGAAGCATTACATAGCAATTGACATAAGACTGTAGAAAGGAGAACTATTAATACCTTTGTGATAACATGATAATCCTTCGCTTTATTGGGAAATAAATAAATAAATATAAGATTCGTTTAACTATGGATTAACGTTACATTTCAACACTTATGGGACGCGAACTCTCGATTGCAGACACTATCCAGTTTCAATAACAATATAAACTCCATTGTACGAGGTAATAAGTATGTTATCTGATCACACACACCAGAAGACAGTCGTTGGCGACATTTACGTCAATAGCTACGTGTAATACGAGCGTATGATATCAGACACCCCATGGTTACTTTGGGTTGCCTAACAAGTCAACTAAGATATAATATCATTTAGGTTTAGAAATAACATGAATTATGAATTTAGGACGACTCGTAACCTGTTTATCGTCAGTCAATCATTGTACAAGCTTGGTGTGTTGTCAATGTTCGGCTATTTAAGCACAATTTATAAACGCACACTGTTTAGAATATATAGATGTTAAAAAATACATTCATTACAAATTAATTATATTTTGTCAAAACCTGTTTAACTAAAATATACCCTATGGAATATGATTCGGCTCAGTGCATATGGTGAGTCATGCCGGATAAGTTAAAGCTATCAATAGTGTTTCTACAGTCTGTATTTTTACAACAGTCTATGTTATGCAGGGACACTGTACACTGTTTCGTCCGTGCATGCAGAAGTTTCCCACGATTCCTATCAAAATTTTCTCTATTTCGTATATACCCCACATCCTTGAACTGTTCTACACCCTGAATATCTCCATGTATATAATTATCACAGTATAATCATCAGTTTGTCTGGGGTAAAACGTAATCCGAATACTCACAACACAACCTACATTTCAAGTCATTATGGTTTATCCCGGTGTACTTTTCCAAACCAGATTCATTATAATCTTATAATTTTTATTTAAAGATTGTCAACCTAAACTGTTTCTGACTCATCGGTCAGTGTTATCATTATGATAAGGAAGCTTAAATATCATATCTTTTTCATCGATGCTGTTTACATTTCTGACCATAGACATGCATTTTGATTTAAAGTACAAACTACGTAGCAATGTCAGGCCAACATTAGCCAATATTCCACGGATAACGAGTATTACGAGTGATTGACAACTGTTTACAAATTTGTATTCTCCATAAATGATTGAATAATTCCCATACATTTATCTTGAATTTGATATATTTTTCGTTAAAATATCTGTAGACGTACCTTGCCAAATGCATTCCTTCCTGCCATGCCGTTGTACACCCGATGCTGTCTAAAGCTTCCTGCTGTAGATTTGCTTCAAATAAAAACAGATTTAAATGTAGAGACTATCAGGTTTCACCACCTTACCTGTGTTTACCTGTATCGTCACGGTCTGTAAACCCACAACACAAACACAGGTGCCAGATCGTACTAGCTAAGTACAACCGGTTTGATTTTTTTCTATTAAAAGGAAAGTGAAGTAAAACTTAAAATAAAATATTAAGCAGTTTCTTTAATAATCTAAAACATCAGTAGATCTAGATGCTAGTGCTAATATGCTCAGTAAAGTAATATTCAAATGTGAGTAAATTACTCAGATACGACCATTGTAGAACGACCACAGTATGATTCATAAAATGCAAAGCTTAGGAAATAAATATCGGGACCTCAACACTTAAATAACTATCACTTTTTCATTGCTGATTTTGTTTTGATTTTTTAATCTTGAATATTTTTACCTTACTATTGGATCGATTTTATCAAATTTCACTAATTAAAACAGGCTATGTTTGTCTCTTGACATTACTTAATATGAATAAATATAAGGCTATAAAATTCCCAAAATGGAGCAGCGAACATATCAGTTATCACATGACTAGCCTGATTTTCTATATTTCATTCTGATACAGGTTATAGTTTTGGCGGTGCATATTTTCAGTTCTTAATTAATTTTCTGTTTGATGTTTTATTACTTTTTCAATTTTTACTTACGTAATTCTCGTTAAAGTTATGTTTTGTGTTAAACTTAGGTTTTATTTGACATAGAGATTAATACAGTCTGTTGATAAGTTTGTATACTACACTAAATGCTTTGGAACATTATCAATTAAATGTCAATAGTACAAAAAGGAACTATATGTTGTGTTCTCTGAAAGACAATAATGAGTAGATAAAAGGATTCATTTGCCGATTTTGGAGGACTGTTTAATTATCATGGTAATCTTAAAAATGCTCCTCAGTAACTAACTAAACACGCCATAAATGTATTATCTATAAATTATCATCTAAGAAATGTAGATTTTCTTGCAATATATTTTTTAATGATTATCAAATACTTGCGTTGTAAGTTATCAGAATAAGTATTTTTTGGCGTTCCGTTGGACAATACCATGATCAATATAAATTGTGATATTTTGTATGCGTTCTGTCTGTAATTTTTTCAAAACTAACAAATATACTGAAGATGTACTTATCGCAATGATGTATGCATTATTGTATATTAATGTGACCTCTTTTATCCCACTTTAGTGTGACTGAGGGCTGAATTAAGTATTGACAAAAAATCTTAAAATCTTAAAAGCATTATCGTTTACATAACAGAATATGTTTAAATATTTATTTTAGTTTCGATCAATATGGACATTGGAAAACACGTTTAATAATTCAATTAAGGAGTATGTCAGGTTTTTGTAATTCTTTGGAATACTTCTATAGTCATTCTATGAATTTACACTGGTTTAACATATTGGGCGATATTTCATGTGATTGGTTTTAAAAAACTATATGTATGAGGTAACAGCAAGCGTCGAGCCTTGTCCGCCACACACCAGGAACACTATTCCAGGTCATGTCACTAATCGACTATACGATATATATGGTAAAGTCACACTGCTGATTCGTCAAACTATCGTTAATGGAGTATGAAGTAAGTGAACTCCAGTTTTCCCGTCAATCGGTTTATGTTCATTCTACAGAACACTTATTAATCCTTGATCTAGTAGTCTGATTTTCTCATTTTAAATATGATTAATGTTATAAAAGGAAAAAGTTCTTAGTATAAATGCATTTGGATCATAGTAGCGAGACATATCTATCAGCTGATATAATGGACATTTGTTATGATAATAGAAAATTCATAGCAGTTCAGCAAAACAGCTTTAAGATATTTTAGTTATCCTTAAACTAAATCACTATAAATCAATTTTATGAAGTTTTTTTTATAAACATTCCACAGTCTACCCGTCATTATATGGACGTACTTACGTAATCTAAAATAATAACCCTTTTTTAAAATTGGTGATTACAATGTAGTTCAGATACAGACCGTATATCAAAATCAAACGAAAGGCAACGTAAAACAAACGCAAACCTGGTGATAACACACTTTCAGTTTACATGGATACGACGTATTTTAAATACTTCTAATTCATATGAGGTCAAAATAAATGTCATCAATATATTTAGGTGATTTGCAACTCAGAGATTGACCGATATGACTATATATCGTGATGTCACCGCACTGAAATGGGATATCAAATTATAATAACTTTAGATACCATTTAAATGGAGAAGAAAGTAAAACAGCGCCCCAAGTTTCGATTTTTTTTTAATTTCCTAATGCAATACAGCATATAGGTTAAATTATCCACGTAATGTTATTATATTTTATGCCTCTCCACTCATAACAAGAATATCTCAAACAAAAAATGTGAGGGAAATGGCCACCCAAAGGGTGACATTATATTTATTTTACTGATTAAGCCACCATGTGGCTTCTATCAAAAACTTATGATTACTTTAAAAAACACGTCAATACAAAGTGGTTGCAAATATCCCAAACTTATTATCTACTGGTATGTTCTTACCTTGCTAACTAACTTACTCCTATTTGTATCATTTTTATATCTAGATTTGCATTTACCATTGACACACATTTATTTCGCGAATTTGTCGCTATAGTGCTTTGTGCACTTTATCTATCAATTTCGTTGTGTTCACTTATAATATATTAAATTCACTTGTAGTTATATACAAGTGAAATGTGTGTTGTAAGTGCATTTCTTCCTGCTGCCATTCTGTACCTATACATAGTACACAAAACAGCTACATATACATATCATCTAAATATCGACACATATTCTGATGTTTATATAAACATACCACGAGCATGACTAATTCGGATCACTAAGGGACACCGCCTTCAAATCAGTCAGCCCTTTTAATCCATCAGTCCCTCACAGTATGATCCTCCCAATTACCGCGCTCGGCCCTCTGACACCCACCCGCGATATTTGATTTAATTATTAAAATCTAAACGTAGGTCATCGTTCTCAAAACTACACCAACGAGCGATATCTATGTGCGATATCAACCCATATGAATTGTTATCGTGATTTTGTTTCACTCTTCAATATTCAGAGTTTTAAGGTTCACAATACAGAATCAGTGATGTGTTTTAGAAGAGGATAATTACATTGTTGTGTTTTTAGAACATATGGAATTTACATTTCGCGAACAATGGCTAAATGTTCATTCCGACAATTTACCTTTCTGTTGTTTAATTTCTTGTTTTTGGTAAGTATATTGCTTTACGTGAAGTCTTTAATATAAAGAAAAGTTAACTAAATAACCGCTCAAATGTAAAAATAATATCAAAGTACCAGAATAACTTTTATTATGTCATCGTATCGTCATAGCATTGCCGACGGCATAGAACAAAAAATACAGCTGAGAATAATCGTGCCCATCAAATGTATTTGGACGATGCCTCTGTATCAGTGTCTAGTATGTTGACATCAGTATAAAGTATTTCATTTTATGTTTACTGTTACAGTGCCTTGGTCTGGGACTGGTAGGATTCGTGGTCTGGACCTTAGCGACCATTCCTGCTGCCAACGAATTCATATCTGGTACACATGTAAGTCTACAGTATAGCTAGTATACGATATGTTGTTACGTAATTCCCTTTGTGTTGTTGATCAGGTACATTTATTTATTTTTATTTTACATGGATATTGCTGTGATGATATATATGACGGGAGACATTTGGCCTATGGTCAAACTATTGTAGATACATATGACGTCATTTCATTTTTTGATACAATAATATCCCATATCAAAACATTGATCAATTCAATTTGCAAATGTGTTATCGAGATTTGGTATGTAAAGCAGAAAACTAATCTCTCTGGTTTACCTGAACACAGCTCTGTGTAAAAATATAGTAATAGAACAATGTGTGTCCATTGTTTCTTAGAAATGAATCTAATGTAGGTAAAGTCATCAACAACTTACACAGTCAACGTATCAAATGCTCACTCAGTCTTTTACGTCCCGTGGACATAATCACAACACAGAAACAATTATCTGATGTTGTGTTATCTATAAGTATTTCCACGCTGAAATGTGATATTTTTGTGATAATTTGTATTGTACCTGATGTAATGACCAAACATGTTGATTTTTTGAAATGTCTTGATATTCTTTAACAAATGAAAATAATGTTCATAAATGTTCTGAATATCAGTTCTTCTCCAAATGTGAATTACATATAAATAAGTAATTATGTAGCTATATACTTTAAAGAAGGAGTGGAATGATATAATAAAACCAGTATCCTATAGTTTTCTTTCCTCAATATGAAATATCATTCTAACAATCTGCAATGATTCGGGTGTTCATGGATTAAAACGTTTACTTGAAACAATATTTTCATTTTATAGAGACAAAAGACACACTGTGAAAAATTAACTTAAAATATCTATGACGCGTCTAACTGAGTTACATTTTTGAGGCATTCTTTCCTTTAAATCGATGCTGAATTGTTCTCAGTTTATGACTTATGGTTGGTATATATGAAACGTAAATTAATTCATCGATTCCTTAACGACTTACTCTCAAATCTAACCTCCATTATATTAAATTACACATAATTTAAATCTAGCATAGTTTCATTTTAGTAGAAGTTTGGTAGTATATTTCGATTTTTTTATTGTAGGTAATCACTTTAACAAGCTTTTGTCTCGGTTTTGTGATCGTCATTATCGGTAAGTGTATGAGGTATCCTAATTTCGCCATACCTTGTTCATTTTCACCACATCTGACATATTTGTACGATATCTGGCACATCTTTGGTAATTATAACTAATTTGATATTTCATCCATATTGTTAAAAGCATCTTAGGTCGTCAGCTACATCATATTTAACCGTATTGCAGACATCGTGACAGGTGACACAAGCGGTACAAGGAAAGGCCTACACGAACAATATACGCACTTGGTTTTCCTTTTACGATTTAATTATCGTCTCAAGAGTTCATGAATCTTTGTTTTTGTATGTTTTACAGTTCACGTTTTAGCTATACATAATAAACTTTGCTTAGGTAGGATTTTATTAATGTCATAATATAGACACAGGTATTAATATCACGTTTGATAACAGGAGGTATCGGCTGTGCTGCGGGTTTCTGCAAGGGATTATGTATGCTGAAAACGGTGAGCATGCAGAATATGTCCAGGTCAAATAATCTTATAAAGTAAGAACATACAGTAAACAAATGTTCTAAGTTCTCTCTTTTTTTGCATGTTACATTCTATGATACACTCTATGTTGCGAACTAATCAATTCCCTAGTTTGACTTCACGTACGACTTTCTCTAGCTATAGTCTAATGGCGATCCTTTTGATATGTTTTGTCCGCTATACTTTCTTACACGTACACTGCCTGAACCAACAAATTTCGTATCAGGTCGTTCATATCTTCCCCTGTTAAATTTACATGTGTCATGATGTCTTCCATTATAATAATATCAGGCTATGTTGCGGTCTGTATTGTGTATTTATCCTTGCGCTATTTACTTGTTATCTTGTGTTTACAGTACGTGGGACTTATGGTTACCCTGCTGTTCCTGGAACTTGGTCTTGTGTTCTTCATATATTCTGAACAATCACAGGTAATTTAATCAAGTATCAAATATGACGTTCAAAGTTTACAACAATATTGTAAACCGTAGTATTTGTGCTTCGCCATATTATCCTCTTTTTAACTTTTTAAAACTATGGCCGCTGTTGAATTTTATCATACTTCATACTTACTAGCACTGCTAACTTTGTATTCAATATTTTATCCGTGTATGTTTCGTCGATTCATTGAAAGGCAAAGAGAGATGAAAATAAAACAAAGACGCAAATGGCCTGTTACACCATCAACTGAATGAATCGCCCCTTCATCAGGCCATGCCAGCAACCAAATGTACAGTCACGCCAGGTTTTAGTACTTTTTCAGACAACATTTTATATACTGTTTTAAACGGATGGAATTTTCCAAAATATTTGCCATCCTTGTATACGAATTGAAACAATGTATGCTTTCTGTTACCTCTGTGTTCTCTGTTTACCAGATACCAAGCGTCATGGTCGACTCCTGGGATGGACTCAACACAGACACACAGTATCAGATTCAGACCGAGGTAACTTTGTATGTAATAAATGGAATCCCAAACATGCTCTATGATGTTTTGGACTATCTGTAATATAAATATGGCACTGTTGTGACAACTCAGTCACCTGAAATAGAAACATCAGTCAAATTGATGTGCAAGCTGTTGGATTGGATGTCTTTTGTTTCTTGCCAGTTATTTAGACGTTTCCCCTGTCGTAAATTTGTTATTTTGTCGTGAACAATAACATAAATATCCTTTTGATTTATATCAGTTCATATAGAAAATAGTGTTAAATTGATAAATATGCACAAATAAAAAACATGATATTAAGTCTTAAACGAAACATTATCAATAATTATTATTGGATTGAATGTCAATCATAATCATGGGTACGTTACAGCTGGAATATAAGTGTGGCACATTGAAATTTGGGAAAACGTGGTATATTGGTAATGTATGTTGCTTACTAACAATTTGAATAACGTGGTACAATGACGGTGTATGTAGCTATAATACAGTTACAATGTTGTATAATGCAAATGCATATTCTCTATGGTTATATTACAGTTGAAGTGTTGTGGTATACAGAACTACACAGAGTACGGAACGGACGTGGAATCCTACCCATCTAGTTGCTTTGTTGTGTATGACGTCACAGGCATCATCGAAAAAACAGTCGATAATCTCTTTACAGTTAGTTCGGCATTGAAAACTATCTTTTAGCTGCAAATTTGATTTTTTGAATTAAACATTTAACTCATGTCCCCAGTGAAAAAAATCAACATCAAAGGAGAAGAGAGCATACGCATTACTACATCCTTCATTGTTACGATAAATCTATTACGTCGACATTATTTATGTCAGTGTCTTGTTTAGTTCGCGGTAGGTTAGTGATATGTATCTTATCATGGATGCGTCGATAGCCTACTATGGAGTATTTTCAAGCTCCTAATAATTTCGACAGTATCTTTCCTGTGATTTTTGGGTAAAAAAATAATTGTTTTTCGAAGAAAAGTTCGTTAAAAGTAGTTTTTGTATTAATGAACAATTGACATTATTCATATGTAATAATTGTTACTTAGTGTGAATTGTTTATTGACCTTATTTTGTACCACTACTCGCCTGTTATGTAGGGAATATATCACTGTAACTCTTTCTTAAATGTGATAAGCGACATCCCTAAGTAAGATATCACTTTTCATTTGTGACGTCACTATTAGAACAATTGAAATGCAATATGGCGATAACAAATAAAAGTTAATGGCTACAACAAAAGTTAATTTTGAAACACATTGACTTTTCGATAATGTGATATCGTAAATAATTATTGATATTTTCAATACAAGATTTTCTTATACTAAATACTTTTTGTTATAGAATCGTTTGCATGAAAAAATCTTAACTGGCTACAAAATTTCATATGAAACAGAAACTCATTTACCATCCTATATATTTATTCACAAATTTGATGTCAACATTTCAATGCACATTGGTCACTATAATATCGTCGTTGTCCTTCAGATGAGCTGTCTGACTCAAATGCAGACCTGGTTGAATGACCACATCCCAATATGGTCCTCTGTCATCCTGGTCATTGCTGTGATAGAGGTGGGTAGTGTCAGCTAAGAACGACTGATGTTTGCTCACAGCTTATCACTTACCTTTGTTCTATTTCATAGTTTGATTGTGGTAAATTGGGGGGATACTGGCTTCTTTAGATAATATCAAATTTATTTCTTATACTCCTGGTGACGAAATGTTACAAGATACAATATATATATATCGTCGTTTATGTTTACATGTAAATAAAAGCATAAGAACTTTATAAAAATACGTTTCATCGTCTAGATGGTATAGTCACATTTGGAGGTCAAAGTTCGATACCAACTTGACAGTTGATAGCTTAATATAATATCTAGACAGGCGATAGATAATCTATTTTAAACAACATTTTACCATCATAATAGAGAGTGTATACAAGTTATGAATTTATACGATATCAATCATTGATCAACACCACGTATGTCTGCAAATAAACCATACGTTAGTACTAATATATACTGTATAACTTGGACGTCTAGAAAGTGATTTAAATGAATTTTAATTGCATCACTTTGGAATAAAATATGGCAAACAGGCATGTCTTGCAAGACATAATTACATCAATTAAAATAATCATGTTCCTTTTCATTTACAGTCCTTGGGTGGTCTCACTTCCTGTATATTCCTACAAAGAGTTCAAAAGAAGCTGAAAGTCAAACCTAATGAGGATGATGACACACAAAATATAGACAAGAAAATGGTGGTCATGGAGACAGGCTCGTCAAAAGAAAAAGACTTTGTTGATACGGAACATGAAAAAGATGACAAGGGAATAAATGTTCCTGGTTTGATAATTGTGTCCCCAGCCTCAGGACAGGATATAAAAGATAATGCTTATAACGATTACCTCAACGAGAAAAACGATGATTCATCATCAACCAAGACTAACAACGAGGTCAAAGACGAGAATAAATTTGATACTGCTTCAAATCCTAGTGCGGAAGGATCGTCGCTATTACTGATTGCTTCTATTTCAGATGAAGAAAAATACATTGAAAAAAGTAAGGATGGTGTGCCTGAGGATGAGGTTGAGACAATAGTTCTGACACAAATCGGTCAAAGTGACATAACGAACGATAGTAAAGATGAAAAGGAAGACTACGTTTCTAATAATAGTGCTTCAAATCAGTCTTCTCTTCTGGTCGAGTCTGTAACCAAGGACGAGGCTGTTGTTACGATGCCAACTACGACTGCGCCCGTTCCAGACGAAGTGGAAACAATAACCTTAGATCAAATGACACCCTATGATGACAATGACGACAACAATGATCACAAAAACGATGACACCACGTCTAACCGCAGTGGATCTGATCATACAATGCCACAGGACGCATGTGCTCTAAACAGAGAAACATATGCCGACAAGGAGCCCGATGCTTTCGAGGAAACCGATGACATCGAAACAGTAGCTCTGACACAAGATACTAACTTTGATGTGAAGGGAAATAGATAGGGCGAAGAAGACGACAATAATACTTCAAATTAAAGTACATCTGTGTACATCGATAACTTCTCGATAACGGTCGCCTCTGTGTCATTATCAAAAGCGAACTTTTAAACGACCATTTACATTCTCTTGTACAAGATGAAGAAAACACCATAGTTTTGGATCTGACAACAGTCATCTAGTTGTAGGGAGGAAAACAAAGATGAAAACGACGGGGACATTATTTCTACGTGGTATTTCATCTTACCCTTCTTTGTGACTGGTCGTATCTTTCCAAATATTGATATCGGGGTGAAGGATTATGTTGTTGACAATGATGTTGGGACAGTAGCCTTCTCAATCAACATCTTCCTATGATAAAAAGAATGATAATAAAGATAACGTCATATTCAATCAAAACACATCCCGTGATTTGATGATTGTCGCCTCTGTGTCACATTCTGATACGTTTGCTTAAAATGACCCATGTGATTATGCTGATATGAGAAAAGATGAAACAAAGAAATACATTAATTTCCTCACAGTGCTTCAGACAGGTTTAAGATTCTTCTTGCTTCTTGGTCAGAGGCAGGGGCGTCTACTGAACACGGAATTTCTAACTTCAAGAAATACTTATGACAACAGTGCGACAATACTTCTACCGAAAATTGTGGAAAGCGATATGCAAAGCCATGGTTAAGGTGATAAGTGATACAATTTCTAGACTTTAAATTCTCTGCGACTGAGGGAGAATAATTCCATTAATAAAAAGAAATTGCATATTTATTCATTTAGGCAAGAAACTGTGAATACAGTTTTTTTTTTAATTGTATACTCTCAGGGATTTTCCGTCTTTGTACATTTAATAAAAAAAAATTATGGTAGTTTTGTTCGTCTGTTATATTTTTATAAACGCTCTCAAGAGAGTGTAATGATGGTGTTCTTTCTGTTTGCATAGTTTGTCGGATAGAAGGCCTTTATTCCAAGTTAAAAATTAGCTTCACCATAGTCATACTATGCGAAATCGGTTTCAACGACATCACCTTAGCTGAGGGATTTATAAATTATATAGAATCCAGATAATTTTATAAATATAAAATTGTTAAAAGTAGCGTCAAGGCTATTATAATAATATCAAGGTCATATAAATAGTTTCAAAATTATAAAAATAATATCAAAGTTATTACAGTATTAGTTATATCCAGGTCATTAAAGTAAGGTCAAAGTTATTATTTAGGTTTCAAGGTTTTAAAATAGCATCAAGGTCATTAAAGTAGTGTCAAGATTTTTAAATAATATCGAGGACATGAAAATAATGTAAAGATTATTATAATAGTATAAATTTCAATTAAATAGTATCAATGTTATTATATAAGTATCTAGGTAATTGAAACTGTTTTAAGGCTATTGTATTAGTATGAAGTATCACAGTTATTATGCTAGTTTAAATGTTAGTATAGTGACATCAAGATTATTATTGTAGCTCAAGGTTATTATGATATTATCATTGTGTATTATAGAAGTACCATTATGAAAGTGTCAAGATTATTATATATTGTCAAGGTTACATAAATAATGTAAGGTTATTATAATTGTGTCGAAACTATTTCAAAATTTCAAAGTATTGGTACTACGATTTATGTAATATTTATTATAATAAAAGCGTCATGGGTATTATGTGTCAAATTATTTTATCAATATCAACGTTATCGTTTATTTGTCAAAATGATACATTTCATCATTGTCCAGATTATTAAAGATTGTTCAAGATGTTTTATCAAGTGTCATGTTATAACATAACTGTCATGGTTATTATAATAAAGTCATTGCTATCATATTTGTGTTTTTTATGATAATACCAAACGTATCATAATAGTGGGATCCGCATGACGAAACAAGAAAAGATTTTACGTCAGTTCTAATTGTTTGGATATAACAGAAGCCTGGAAACGTTGCTTTCCCCGACTTGCTGTATTTACTATATGTTTCGTACCTTTACCCTGTAGTACAGCTCGGAACTTAACGGCCATATAGTGCAGTAAATATTTATTTGTAGCTTTCTGTATGACTTCCCTAAATAATTAAACAGACACTTTCTTACATCATATCTCTAACAATTATTTTAGTGAGGGCGCACAGCGTAATGTGCGTAACAATGCCGTTTAAAATCCAAGATCATGAAATTTAGAGAGAAAATGTTTTTATTATATACTTCCTTGCTAGGTATGTCTGACGATTATTATGAGTCACGGGGGCGTTGAAAGTCAGCAAGTGGACAATCAGCCCACGAAGGTGACCTTAACCTTGTAGTTTGTATAGAGCTGGGCATGGTTTACATGTAATATTAACCTTTCCTGTGTTTGTTGTTGATAGTTTTAATTTCCTTGTTTCTTAATCACCACGATTATCAGAGTCCAAAATAGACAAAATGGCTATCTTATACAGCGACAAGTGTTTCCTTGTTTTGGCTTTATATATCAACTTACACTAGATCTTTAAAAGTGAGCTTCCGTATCTCGTATCTCTCGTGGAAGCATTTTGTGAAAGCGCACAAATGTTTGTACAAGATTATGACTTTTCTAGTCAAAAAACAGTATAATTGAAAATGAATGATGAAACCCTTATATTTACATATTTCATTTTGAAACCAACTGATCTGATGTCACCATCATGTCGACCGTTCTGACGTTACTATCATTTCGACCAATCTGATGTCACTATCATGTCGACCAATCTGATGTCACTATCATGTTGACGGTTCTGATGTTTTATCATGTCGACCGTTCTGATGTCTCTATCATGTCGACCGGTCCGATGTCACTATCATGTCGACCGTTCTGATGTTATTATCATGTCGACCGTTCTGATGTCACTATCATGTCGACCAATCTGATGTCACTATCATGTTGACCGTTCTGATGTTTTATCATGTCGACCGTTCTGATGTCACTATCATGTCGACCGTTCTGATGTTATTATCATGTCGACCGTTCTGATATGTCACTATCATGTCGACCAATCTGATGTCACTATCATGTCGACCGTGCTGATGTTACTATCATTTCGACCAATCTGATGTCACTATCATGTCGACTGTTCTGATGTCATTATCATGTCGACCGTTCTGATGTCACTATCATGTCGACCAATCTGATGTCACTATCATGTCAACAGTTCTGATGTCACTATCATGTCGACCAATCTGATGTCACTATCATGTCAACAGTTCTGATGTCACTATCATGTCGACCAATCTGATGTCACTATCATGTCGACCGTTCTGATGTCACTATAATGTCGACCAATCTGAGGTCATTATCATGTCGACCGTTCTGATGTCACTATCATGTCGACCAATCTGATGTCACTATCATGTCGACCGTTCTGATGTCACTATCATGTCGACCAATCTGATGTCACTATCATGTCGACCGTTCTGATGTCACTATCATGTCGACCAATCTGATGTCACTATCATGTCGACCGTTCTGATGTCACTATCATGTCGACCAATCTGATGTCACTATCATGTCGACCGTTCTGATGTCACTATCATGTCGACCAATCTGATGTCACTATCATGTCGACCGTTCTGATGTCACTATCATGTCGACCAATCTGATGTCACTATATGTCTACTGTCCGTAGTCACTATTATGTAGACTGTTCCACTGTCACTATCCTGTCGACGTTTCTAAAAGAAAAATGATTTGTTGACGTTGTACACATGTTTTTAGTTTACGTGAACATAAAACAAGGCTTTTTCATTAACAGATTTGATTTCCGACCGAGAAAGTAAAATATTTAATGAATGAAGGCGTTAAGTTTGTTTACAAATATAGTGGATTGAAAGACGATCCTTTATAAAGTCAGTACATTGCATTTCATGAGCATATACAGCGTCCGATTCATTGACACATGTGACTGATAGGAACACGAATGTAGCTAGAACTACTTACAACACGTGAGACATTGTGTGCGTATGGTATCACTGCAATAGAAATAATTAGATCAATCAAAAATAGAATAAAGAGAAATTATTTAGTGTCCACGTGATTTATTGATGTCAAATATGTTTATATTAAATAAACTTTTACTGCAAATGATATTACTATGCACAGATTTGATGATGACAACATGGGCATCTATAATGTGTAGGCAAGTCAGTTTAGACAATCTACAACAGTGTACGTTAACATTTGATAAATGTATAATTCCCAAGTACATTGTTTGTGTTATATAATAACATCATGGCCGAACTTATATTTGATTATTAAATGTATGTATGTAAGACTTTTAATCAATATGAAAAGATAAATTATTGACGAGGACAGCTTATATAAGTATGGACTTATATCTATGGTAAATTATTTAATTTAATGAATCAATTTGGTATATTATACTCTGAGGTGCAATGGGTTAAGTAGAGGATTCATAAACTGCCTCATTTTGACATCACTACATGCTATTTTCGAAACATTTGTTTATAACTATGGTGCATTGTTTACCCCCGCATATCACAGAATCCGGTCACCAAGGTGACCTTAATTTCAAGTCTTACCATGACGGCATAACTAAAAGGTGTAATAATACAAAAAATAAAACTTATCGGGGATCACCATCAGAAGGCCAACACTGGAGCCCATCCTTTTATCTGTGATATACCACTAGTACTATAAGGGTATTGCACTATTCACATATTTCTAGTTAATATATATACCTACACATATTTTTTTTAAACTGTAGCAATACATGGAGTATATATGTATTAAATCTGTATCAAGTATGTATCCATCCATAATATTTTGCACATGTAAACATACAATGGACATGACTAATTCGGATCACTAAGGGATACCGCCGTTAAATATATATCGAACTATTTAATCCATCAGTCCTTCTCTGTATTATCCTCCCAATTAGCGGGTCAGGACCTCTGGTACCCGCCCGTGATATTTGATTTACCTATTAAAGTACTAAGTTTAAATCATTGTTCTCATAACCACACAAACGTGCAATGCCCACGTATGGCAGAAACATGTATCTACTTTTATCTTAAACGCCACAACGTTATTCAACTATTGTAGATTTTACATTTAATCAGAACCAAAGATGTGAAACCAAAGAGGGCAAATACACTGTTGTGATCTGTGACCGCCTGGAATTTATTGTACGCGAAAAAATGGCTAAATGTTCATCTAGACAATTTCTCTTTCTGCTGTTTAATTTCCTATTTCTGGTAAGTACACAGCTTTGCATAAACCTGTCATGTAAAAACTAAATCTTTACCCTCATTTTTATAAAGTTTCGAAGGAACGATCCTCGCATTGTGATATAAACATACACCGATGTCTTTAATTGAATCCTTTTAACAAGTTCTTTACCACATTACATGGTAGAGAACAATGTTATATTTCAAATAGAATGTTGCAATGTAAACTCATACGTCTTAATAAATTGTTTAAATATTATTTAATAATTCCCCCTGTGTACTAACTGGAGATAACCAAAAGTTGTTTTCACTAATAGTAATATACTAACACTGTAGCATTTTTTTTATTTGAATGATTATTTTAAGAGATAAACATCTCGATAATATACCTTAGTCAATTAATTATGTTAAATTTACAGGGTTGTTGTTGTTCAATATTCTAGATGTCAACAGCTATCTTTGTGGTCGAGGATAAGTTGAAATGCTAATCCTAATCACGTCTAAATCTGTCCTTACTGTTACAGTGCCTTGGTCTGGGACTGGTAGGATTCGTGGCCTGGACCTTAGCGACCATTCCTACAGCCAACGAATTCATATCTGGTACACATGTAAGTAAATACAAGCTATAATCATATGTATGTATGTGTGTAGTAAGATATACAGATATGCGTAATTTGTTAAATATGTATATTTATTGTACTGGAAACATTTTGAACTTCTGTTACGCATGATACTATTAATTGTTATAACTTCGCAGGTTAAAAAATGTGTGGTTCCAAGAAAACAACATATCAGCTCGCAATAAATTATCCGGGACTCCTTACAATGCAACCAGATTCATATCAAATTAATAATAACATTGTCTTTCACTAGGAATTTATTTCATGATAATTCGTTGTACTGGTAATATCAGATATGCATTTTGTCAAACTATAGGACTGTAGGGTGTGGGTAAGAATTATAGGGCCGGTAGAGGTGTCTCCTAATAGTCTTGAAGAACCCCTGATGCCTTTGTCTGTGTAGACATAATTTATTAGCCAATAGTTATATTCGATTAAACCTGATTGAGCATCTTCCATCTGGTTACGCACTGATGCAGCTTGTAGAGAACTTGATTAGGTAGCAATACCGATACATGTTTAAACCCCTTTCACATACGTCGCACAACACAACAGGTAAACGACAGAAAACTGTGGGAACACATCATGCCGTAGTAGACCATTTTCAGAGAGTTCTGAACACGCTCAAAACGTTTTCGAGTTATATAATTTAATTCTCGACTCCGTGCTCATTTCGTAGGTCCGTTTTGCAGTGTCCTATAGCTGTGTCACGATAGACCTAGGTATTTAGTACGATTTTTGGGTCATATTAGACCCTCAGAATCGTATGAATTTCGAACAATAGTTCTACTATTGTCTCACTTTAAACCAACAACAATTCTACGAATATACTATCTTTGTTCTCCCTTTCTGCTACTGGCCTAGGATATGAGCAAGCAATAGTCGTGTAAAATCGTACGATTGTTGTAAGAAAACCTATCATCGCAGGGTGTTGTACAAAGGATTTTATACGCTCGCGAGTTAGAGCGACTAATGTTAAAATGCCGTCCATCTGTCCGTTAACACTTTCTGATATCAAGTTAGTAATTTTATTAAAAAACATTTTAACATTCAAGTTTTATTTATGTTCTAATGCCCTTTTGATTATTTTATATTAAATTGAAAATAATTAAATTAGTGAACTGACAATGGGGTAAATGAATATCATACGAAAACAAAATTCGATCTGTTTAGACCAGGGCCCAGGTGTTCAAACGGTGATTAGCTTAATAACTGTTTGACGACATATTTCAGTCTCTAATAATTTTGACAATATGCAAGGTAAAATCTCAATTTTTGCATGCTTTTTTATTGTGCTAACATATTTGCAATAAAGAAAGTTTTAACCAAGTTATAGCTGTAGTTAAAGATACAATGTAAGAAAGAAAAAAAAAAATTCCAAAATTTGAGCTAATCACTGACAAAGATAATCACCTTTTGAACAATGTGACCCAGGTTGTTAGATACTGACTCTGATTTGGAGGCATAGAAAGTATGGGAAATTTTATCAATATTAAAATAATTTATTGTGAGTGGCTCCAAACAATAACTTTTACAACATTCAAGATAAAAAAATAAATAAGGAAGCAAATACAGTTTGGACTGAGACTTTTGATGTTTGGGATGCTATACTGTTTATGCACTTCGTTTTAAGATATACTAACAGAACCCTGTAATTAACAGCGAACAAAGGGACAGATGCCGTCGTTATAGAATACGAATTTAAAAATTAAACTGAGTCTATTAAATTGTCATACAAACATGACAATAAGGGAAAAATCGTACAAATTCACTGTTCATACTTGCGTCGTGTAAACATAATCAAGTTAATGTGCTAAATAATGTTGCATTCTCTATAGCAGGTTATCTCCCCTATATCATCAGTGTGTAAGATGGAAACCGGGGACATGGAGTTAACTATTTTATTTTGTGTTGTAGGTAGTCACTTTGACCAGCTTTTGTCTCGGGTTTGTGATCATTATCATAGGTAAGTGTTTACTTAGGATACTGTTTGACGCGTGAATTTGTTCCTTCAATACTTCCACATTCATATATGCAATAGAACACACATATACTCATGTAACGTACACTAATGTCATATGTTTCGGAGTAAAAAATAAGATAGACCAGACGAGGGACCGCCTACTTCGCAAAAAGAAAGAATGAATTTTCATTGTTTTGTTGCTATGGATACGTTTTGCATGTTTACTGACGAACTCCTTAATTGATTTTGAGGTATTTTTCATGATAGCAATTTGTATATTACTTTGTCCTGATAACAGGAGGTATCGGCTGTGCTGCAGGGTTTTGCAAGGGATTATGTATACTGAAAACGGTGAGTATAATCGACTATATCCTAGTGTTATAGAACACAATATGCTTCGAAATAAATATAGTCCATTTCCTTAAATAATTATTTTCTTGGTGATATCATTTATTTCCTTGGTGATATCATTTATTTCCATGGTGATATCATTTATCTAAAGTTATCAATGTGTTATGTTTAAGTACAATTATCCTGATATTACTAATACCAACAAAATGCGTAAATACCATGGACATGCATGGTTTATATACTTATATATTAATATGTAATATAAACATATACATTGCAGTATCGTCTTGCACAGGTATGCTGCCTAGCAAATTAAGCCCAAAGACCAACTTTATCCAAAAAATGTTTCGCTGAACGAGAGTCGTTGACAAAAAAGAATGAAAATGATTCGGATCGTTAAGTTCTTTGAAATTTTCCAATGAGTTTTTTCTTTACTTCACTTGATCACTTTTTGCAAAGTAGCGTTAATGTATAGCTATGATTCCCATGTGTTTATGGTGTGTTATAAACACAACCTTTGTGTTTTTCATGTTACAGTATGCTTTATATCTCACAATTTGTCTTTGTAGTATGTCGGATTTATGTTGACCTTGTTATTCCTGGAGCTTGGACTTATATTTTTCATATATGCAGAGAAGTCACAGGTAATTTTATCAACAGTTTAGTATGTTAGATGATGATATCATTTTTATCCTACATCCTCATTGGTTAAATGATAATCACGTTTAGGTCGGTGATTTGTGATAATGACTCGGTGTTGCTATTTTTTAGAAACACCAGGTCAAATTTTCCTATATATTCACCTCAACAACAGTACAGAATTGATCAAAAACGTTCAGTGTTAAGAACTACCAGTAAACTTGAATGACTTGTAGTACTCACCTGTGCATTAAGGTAGGTAAATCTCACACAGAAGGTTAATGTCACACGGTAGGTAAATCTCACACAGAAAGTTAACATCACACGGTAGGTTAACGTCACACGGTAAGTAAGCGTAACACGGTAGGTTAACGCCATGCAGTAGGTTAACGTCACACGGTAGATACACGTCACACTTTTTGTTCTCTCTGTTTTCCAGATACCAAGCGTCATGCTCGACTCCTGGGACGGACTGAATACAGACACACAGTATAAGATTCAAAGCGAGGTAAATGTTCACTTCACGTTCCGATATAGTGTGCTATTGGGACGCCAAGACAATTATTGTTTTCAAATTTCTTCCCAACGATGATTTTCACGGGCTGCTGCCAGCCTAATAATGACCGCACTTTTGATATAGATGTCTGCTAACATAAGTTTGATATTTCATCACCTATTTGATATAGTTATAAAACGAAAGCCATCGTATCTTAGAATCTTTTTGACTAAAAAGACATTTGTTATAACTTGTACGGCTATGTTGTTACAGTTGGAGTGTTGCGGTATACAGAACTATACGGAGTACGGAACGGACGTGGAATCCTACCCCTCTAGCTGCTTTGTTGTGTATGGCGTCACTGGAATCATCGAGAAAACAGTCGATAACCTCTTCACAGTGAGCAAAGCTTATATTACACCAATTAAACTATTTTTATCTGGTTATCACTTGTGTTGGCATGAATAACCTTTTATAACCCGAAGGATAAAATAGATATTGGTTTTTTAAACAACATTTAACATCAATGATATGAATACAACCATAATGCATGCATGATTTAAGTTGTAATAATCTATTATTTTTTCTTTCTCAACGTATTTCATTAACTTAATGTCAACCGGCCAGAGTATGTCGTATTCTATAAAACCGGTTTTGTTATTTCAAGGTGGACTGTCTGACTCAGATGCAGACCTGGTTGAATGATCACGTCCCCATATGGGTCTCTGTCATCGTGGCCGTTGCTGTAATAGAGGTAGGTGTCTGGACTCTACAGCGGTGTTGGCAAAGAGCGATTGATGAGTTTATCAAAATTATATAATAAATATCTATAATGTAGGCGCACAGTAGAAATCATGGTGTCCGTCTCATCGGCCGTCCGTCCACAATGTGTTAGCTTATCTTATCTCATAATCCAGCAGCCTTACATTTTTACATTGTTTACATATTGATAAAATATTGCATATGTAGATGTGCAGTAGGGGGCTAAAAGTGCCTAAGGTCGAAATCACAGTCACTGTTGCTAAATGGGTATCCTTGGCTATTGTGGGTGATAAATACGGCCATACACACAGCAGAGCCCTTGGTTCCATATAAATGATAAATTTCCTGATTGTTTATCATGTATGGGGGTCATCACTGTATGCATAAAATAATTAAAATAACAGTGATATACTGTAATAGACATGTATTCAATCTGTAAGACTAGTGTGATATCTAATTGCTGAACATGATTTGATAAAGTTGATAACAAAATTGTGCCATACTGTGTGTCATATTCAATTGCCAATAGATCAATATAAGAAATGACGGTCAAAAGTTACACTACCTATTATATGATAGTTAATGCTGCATGAAATGGAGCGTGAGCGATATTTTACTAGTTCTAAGTGATATACATGTGTCGTCTGTAGTATTTTGTTTTTAATAGTATCATAATTTAACACCACGTGTTAGTAAAATCAATCATATCAGTTTGTCATGTAATATAACGATACTAATTAATAATTTCTCTTCATTAATATACAGTGCTTAAGCGGCCTCGCCTCCTGTATATTCTTACAACGGGTTCAAAAAAAGTTGAAAGTCGAACCTGTCAACGACGATGATGGAACAAATGCGGACATAGAAATGGCAGTTATGGAGGCAGGTTCATCGGACGACAGGGTGTCTGATGAGGAAAATCAAGAAAATGACAATAGAATAAACTCTACTGGTTTGATACTTGTGACTCCTGCCTCGGAACAGGATATAAAGGATAATACGACTATCGATTATCTCAGTGAGAAAAACGTCGATTCATTATCAACGAATTCTCAAAGCGAAGTCAAAGATGAAACAGAAGACGTGATCCATTCTCAAGCAACAATTGATGATCCGTCATTGATACTAGTAGCCTCTGTTTCAAATAAAGAACCAGCTATACACGAAACCAATGATTCTATTGCTGACAATGAAGTGGAGATCGTCGCTCTGACACAAACGGCTCCTGGAGATGGGCAGGACAATCGAGCTGACGAAAATAACGACGATTTAAGTTCAAATCAAAATACACCCGAACCGTCTGTGATAGTAGTTGCCTCTATAACCAAAGGTGAAACATCTGTAACAAGAAAAACAACAGATTCGTCTGATCAGGACAAAGTGGATTCATCAGTCCATGGAGAAAGGGATGAAGATGGTGATTTAAAGGTCGATAACAAAGATAGTGACAATATTTCCCAACATAGCGAGCCTGATCGGAGCTTGATCGTGGTCGTCTCTGTAACCAAGGGAGAAACATCAACGGACAAGGAAGCGAACAAAATTGTTGATAATGATCAGAGGGATATCGAAACCCTGACTCGGACGCCTCCTTTGGATGATACGAAAGATGCAAAAGATGAAAAAGTTGAAGATAAAAGTACATGCGATCAGACAATCGTAATAATTGCTTCTGAAAGAGATGACGAGAATTCAGTAAGATCAGAAAATAAAGCGATCGACGAATCTATAGACGAGAAAAGTAACGAAGATAAAAACGACACCATGTCTATTCATAGTTTACCTGATCCGACTCTGTTACTGGTTGCCTCGGTTTCAAGGAAAGAAACTACCGTGACAGACACCAAAGACGATGCTAATGGCATTGAAGTGGACACAGTCGCAATGGTGCAAATGACACCGAAAGACACGAACAAAGTGGACAGGCAAGACAACATTTCAAATCCCGAACCATCCGACCAAAATGTGTTATTAGTCGCATCATTGACAAAGAGAGAAACGGCACAGAAAAACGGTTTTGAAGATACAGTGGGTACAATGTCCGAAGAACAACCTGAACTCAAAGTCAAAGAAATAATAAAGGAGAGCAATGACGATCTAAGTTCAAATCCAATAGAACCTGATGCATCATTTATTACGGTAACCTCTCTGTCACACGCAGAGAATTCTGACGTAAAAGAAGTCACTGATTCTGCAGACAAGGTTGAAGTCGGTTCCGTAGCTCAGACACAAATGAATACAGTCGCCGTTAATGACGATGGCAACACTGACATCACCCAAGATATCAATTCCGAACATATTGTCCCCGAGAAATCTTTGGTATTGTTTACTTCTGAACAAGAGATAGAAATATCTGGCAAAAAGGAAACAACTGATTCTTTGAAGGATTATGCAGTAGATACAGCAGTCTTGGAAGAAATGAATGGTAACAGGGAAAAAGAAAACAATGATGAAAAAGATGACGTCACAATTTCTATTCATAGCACTTCTGAACCTTCTCTATTATTTGTTGCATCATTGTCAAAGGACTCTTCAGAAATAGTAGACGACAAGGAAATGGAAACAACTGCTTCGACACATATGGTTTCCGAGGATGTGACGAGCAATATAAAAGACGAAAACGACGACAATTTAAGTTCAAATGAAAGAACATCCGACCTGTCTGTGATAGCAGTTGCCACTGTGACGAATGGAGAAACATGTGGTATAAAGAAAGTGACCGATTCGTCTGTACTAGACCAAGTGGGATCAGTCCCGGAGGAAATAGAGGAACATGGTGATTTGAAGGACGATCATAAAGATGGTGACAGTATTTCCCGACAAAGCGAGCCTGATCTGAGCTTGGTCATGGCCGTCCCTGTAACAAAGGGTGACACGGTTGAGGAGGGGAAGATCATTGTTGACAATTATCAGGGGGATATCGCAACCCCGACTTGGACAACTCCTGGGGACGAAACAAAAGATGAGAAAAATGATGACACCATTTCCAATAAAAGTACATCCGATCAGGATATGGAATCGATTGTTCCAATTTCAACTACTACAAAAACGAATTATTCTGAAGAGAATGACGTGAATACAATAACGTCGGCAAGTAAGGCTATCGACGCATCGATGGAGGAGATAAATGATGAAAATAAAGACGACACTATCTCTATTCATAGTTTACCTGATCCGACTGTTTTACTGGTTGCCTCAGTTTCAAAAACAGCCGTGGTGGATACTAAGGATACCATTGATAACATTGAGATGAACAATATACAAATGGCATCAAGTGATATGAAAGAAATTAACACAGAAGAAAAACAAGCCGACGTTTCCAGTCCCGAACCACCCGACCCGTCTTTGATATTGGTCCCATCTGTGACGAAGGAGGAAACGTTACCAGAAAATGAAACTGTTACGGTGTCTGAAGAACAAACGGGGCTCCAAGAAATGACAAAGGAGAGCAAAGATGAAAGAGACGAAGAAACAAATTCAAATCAAATAAAACCTGATGTGCCATTGCTTATGGCCGCCTCTGTGTCACACGCAGAGAAATCAAATGTGAAGGAAGCCACGGATTCTGTTGACAATTATGAAGTCGATTCCGTAGCTCAGATACAGATGAATGCAGTCGACATTAGTGAAGATGACAACACTGACATGATCAAAGACATAAATTCTGATCATATTGTCACTGATCCATCTTTGAAAATGCTCATTTCTGAGAAAGAAGGGGAGATGTCTACGGAAAAGGAAATTTCAGATTCTTTTAAAGAAGAAGTAGTAGACACAGTTGCCCTGAAACAAATTGAGCATAACACGACAACGGAGAACAATGGTGAAAAAGATGATGACGCCACCATTTCCATTCAAAGCACATCTGAACCGTCTTTATTTCTGGTTGCATCATTGTCCAATGAAGAATCATTTTCTTATCCAGCCAACAGAGATGCAAAAGACGACAATGAAGGAGAGATAGTCGCTCTAAAACGTATATATCCCAATAATGTAATGGATAATGAGAACGACGTAACAGGCGACGATACAAGTTCAAATCACAGTACATCCGACCCCTCTGTGGAAGCAGAAACGTGTGAAATAACGAAAGCAACCGATTCGTCTAAACACGAAAAAGTTGAATCATTTATCCCGGAGGAAATTGAGGAAAATGGTGATTTAAAGGACGATAACAAAGAAGGTGACAATATTTCCCACCAGAGCACGCCAGACCAGAGCTTGGTTATGGTCGTCTCTGTAACGAAGGAATCATCAACGGACAAGGAAGTGAATACAATTGTTGATAATGATCAGGGCGACATCGAAACACCGACATCAACGACCCCTGATGACGTTAAAAAAGATGAAAAAGATGATGATACCGTATCAAATCAAAGTACATGCTGTGAGGAAATGGTATTGATTACCCCGACTTCCACAAAACAGACACCTTCTGAAAATAAAATAATGGATTATACGTCACAGGATGACGTCAATACAGTTACATCAGAAGACAAAGACATGGCAGTGTTGGTAGAGGAAAGAAATTGTGAAAATAAAGAAGACACCATTTCTATTCATAGTCTACCCGATCCGACGCTGTTACTGGTTACAACAGAATCAAGGACAGAAACGTCCGTGATGGAAAATAAGGACGCTGTTGATGACATTGAAGACGACACAGTAGCATTGGAACAAATGACACCATTAGATGTGAAAGACATTAGCAAAGAGAATAGTCTAGACAATATTTCCAGCCATAATCCATTCGACCCGTCTTTGATGTTCGTTGCAACTGTGACGCAGGAAGAAACGCTCCCAGAAAAAGAAATATTTTTTAAAGATGCACCAGTAAGAGAGGATGTAGAGGGAATGGATATCAAAGAAATGATAAAGTATAACAAAGATGAACATGAAAATGACACGAGTTCCACTCCATTAGAACCTGATGTGTCATCGATTAGGGTCGCCGCTGTATCATACGCTGAAAGGACAGATGTAAACGAACTCACAGATGCTGTTGACAAGTTTGAAGTTAGTTCTGAAGCTCAGACACAGATGAAAACAGCTGATGTTAAAGACGACAAAAAACCCGACATCACCGAAGACATTCGTTCCGAACACATGATGCCCAATCCACATTTGATAATGCCTAAATCTGAGCAAGAGGGAGAAAAATCTGGCGAAATGGAAACTACTGATCTTTTGAAAGATGAAGAAGTAGATAGAGCAGCCTTGGAAGAAATGGAACATAACCAGGCGATGGAGAACAATGATAAAAAAGATTATGACGTCACCATTTCTGTTCAGAGCACTTTTGAACCGTCTTCATTACTTGGTGCAACATTTTCAAATGCAGAAACGTTTATTGAAGAAGGCATTACAGATGTAGTGGGCGACGATGAAGGGGAAACAGGAGCTCTGAATCAAACGGTGCCTGTTGATGGGAAAGACGAAAACAAAAATAAAATCATTGGAGAACCTATTTCCTTGACACCTGAAATGCCTTTAATAGTTGCTGCGTCTTTATCAAATGAAGAAACATCTCCTATAAAGGAAACTTCTGATCGGGGAGCGCAAGACAATGGAGCGATACTCAAAGTGTCGAGAGAAGAGAGTAAAGATAAAAAGGATATCGGCAGCATTTCGCTTCATGTATCACATGACAAGTCAGATTCGTTAGTACCATACAAAGTGGATACGGCATCATTCGAACAAATGGTCCCACCTGATGTAACTTCTGCGATGGTGGGAATAACAAATTCGAAGGAAAAAGATGCAAATGTAGCTGTTGAACGAACGGCGATTAATGATGTTCCAACGAATGACTCAAACTCTATGAATATCACATTCGATCCTTCATTGACACTGAGCGCCACGGCGAACACTGCCGAGTTATCCGCGCAAGCCAACATGGACGCATTTGCATTAGATCAACCTGATGATGTGAAAGAAGACACAACGAATCAAACTGAAGACAACACCGTTTCAAAACAAGGTACATCTGATTCCTGTTTGCAACTAGTTGCTTCGATGTCATCATTAGACGAAACATCAGACCAAAATGGTATGAACACTATAACTTTGGATCAAACGGCGATCGATGTACCAACTGACATTTCCATTCATAGTCCACCTGATAAGGCTTCGACATTGGAAGCTAGAGTGTCATTTTCGAAAAAAAATGCAATTAAGGAATCTGAGGATTTTTCAGGGATAGAAGACATGAGCACAGAATCCTCCGACGTGGCAGATGGTGCAAAATTCAAAATAGCTGATGCCACCACTTCCAATGATAACACACTTACTCCATCCTTGACAGTGGTTCACCCAGTACCAACTGAAGATGCATACAATGTAGAGGAAAAATCAGAAAATGGCGACGTAGTCGACATGGACATATTACCGATGGATCAAATAGAAGCCTGTGGTACGGATGAAACAGTTGATGGCCTCTTTTCTATTCAAAGCACCCATGATTCACCATCAACTGATGCGGACGGCACAAATTCCGATCATGTTGGACATGCTAGATATTTGTCTGTGGTGGAAGATGTCGGCATAGAAGCATTAGAACAAGACAAACATAAGAATGTGAAGGACAATTACAAAGATGAGTTTGAAGACGATTCCACTCCTAATCATGGTGCACGTGATCCCTCTTTGGAACCAGTTGCTATGGTGTCAGCTAATGAAATGCATGCCACAAATGAAGATGTAGATGCGTCACAAACAGAGATCACTGAAACCATACCGAATACATCAGAAGAAGAAGACATAGACGCAATGCCTAAAGACCAAACGGAGGACTGTGATGAGTCAGACAGCAGGAAGGAACAAATAGACGAGGACACCAATTCGAACCTTGATATTCACGTTATGCCTATGGAAATTATTCCTTTGGTATTAACAAATGTGTCACAAAAAGTTGTCACTGATGCAATACCGTTGGAACACACGGAGCCTAGTAATCTGAAGTTTAATAACATTATAGAAACAACAAACGACTCAATTTCCAAACAAATAACACTCGATTTAACTTCAGACCTTGTTGCACCGTTACCAATGCCGGAATTGACTTCAATCAAGGAATCCGATAACTCGGAAACAGAAAACACGGATGCATTACCGATGCATGAAAAGGAGCCTTGTTATTTAGAAAACGATAGCAAGGATGTAAAAGACGACGACAACATCATCAATCAAACTTTGAAACAAACTGAGTTGTTGTCAAATGGTGAAAAATCTATCGTAACGGAAAATAAAAACACAACAGTAAATGAAGTTTCGGACACAATAAAATTGGAACAAACGAAGTCTGACGATGTTACAAGAGATAGCAAGGAAGAAATTACCGACGACACTGAAGACACACTTGGTTCGTCTTTGGAACTTGGTGCCTTGGTATCAACGAATGAAACATATGCAGTAAATGCTGACGAGTCAAAAATAGAGGTCATAGACGCAGTTCCGATAAATCAAACTATACATGGTGATATGGATAATGAGACTACAACCAATCCCACTTCGGAAATGATTGCGTCTGTATTAATCCAAGAAAAGTCGTTCATAGAAGAAACAGAATCATCAGAAAAAGGCATTATTGGTGCATGTCAGATGGATCAAACGGAGGCTTGTGAAGTGGAAAACAATAACAAGAATGAAGCAGAGGATACCAACTCCACCATTCAAAGTACACAGGATTCATCTTTGAAACAAGCTCCTTTGGTTTCACCTGATGAAAAATTTACCGTTGCGGAATGTACAAACTCAACAGCGAACGAAAATCCAGACACACCAGAATTTGAAAAAACAGATACTGACGTTGTAATGGACGTTAGCGAGGAAAGAGTATCCAAGGATACTCTTTCCAATCATGGTATGAATGACCCGTCTTTGGAGCTTGATGCTATGGTATCAACAGAAGCGTCAAAACAATTCAGCGGAGCAACGCCGACTGAACAAACGGCGCCTGGTGGTTTGAAGAACAATGACTATATTGAAACGACAAACGACCCAATTTTCAATCAAATAACACTCGATTCCACTTTAAACCTGGTTGTACCAGTATCAATGCCAGAAATAACTTCAATCAAGGAAACCGATAACTCGGATACAGAAGGTACGAAGACATTACCGATGGATGAAAAAGAGCCTTGTAATTTAAACAACGATATCAAGGATGAAACAGACTACGACACATTCACCATTCAAACTTTAAAACATTCTGATTTGATATCAACTGGTGAAAATACTACAGAAAAAAAAGTTCTGGACACAACAATACTAGAACAAATGAAGGCTGACGATGTTACAAGCAAGAAAGAAGAAATGGCCAACGACACTCCTTCCAATGAAGATACACGTGATCCGACTTTGGAACTTGGTGAAATTGTATTAGCTAATGAAAATTCCGTACTAAATGAAGTTACTGGTGTGTCAAGAATGGAGCTCGTAGACGCAGTTACGATCGAACAAACTTTACCTGGTGACCCGAAGTTCGAGATGGATAATGAAATAACACCCATTCCCACCTCAGGACTAATTGCGACTGTATCAATCCCAGCAATAACTTCAATCGAAGTAACAGATTCATCAGAAAAAGATGTAATTGTTGCATGTCAGATGGATGAAACGGAGGCTTGTGTTGTGGAAAACGATAACGGGAATGAACAAGAGGACACATTCACCTCTCAGAATTTGTCTTTGAAACAAGCTGTTCAGGTATCAACTGACGAAAAAACTACCATTTTCTCCTCAGAACTAGTTGCGCCGGTATTGACGCCACACATGGTTTCAATCAAGGAAACTGATTCATCAGAAAAGGAAGGCATGGAGACATTACCAATGGATCAAACGGATGACACCTTCACCACTCAAACGCTGAAACTTACTGATGAAAAGTATATCATTACAAAAGATACAGCCACAACGGAATTGGAACAAAGGGAGGCAAGCGATGTGACAAACGATAACAAGGAAGAAAGTACTGACGGCACTCTTTGTAAAGAAGGTAAGCCTTATCCGTCTATAAAGCCTGTTGCCTTGGTATCAACAAATGACATGATTTCAATTGATGAAGTTGCTGATACGTCAGTAGGAGAGATCGTTGACACAATACCGATTCTAGATGATTTGGTATCAACTCAGGACACGTTTGCAGTTGTTGAACAATCAGATACTACAGGCGACGAAGTTCCGGACACAACAGCATTGGAGAAAGGTGAAGGTGGCAATGTAACAGACAGTAAGGAGGTTATTGCCGACAGCAGTATTTCTGATCATGGTACACATGATCCGTGTTTGGGAATGTCTGCTTTGTTATCCACAGATAAGTCAGAAAAAGAAGTCGCTGGCGCAATACTGACTGAGCACACGGCGTCTGTTGATCTGCAGCACAACACCGATAACAAAACAACAAACGACACAGTTCCTGACCAAATACCACTCGATCTGAATTCAGAACTGGTTCTGACGGTGCCAAGTTCAGAAAGTTCAGAAATGCCTACAATAAAGGAAACCGAGTCAATGGAAACATTGCCGACGGATGAAATGGTGTCTTGTCATTTCGAAAACAATAACAAGGATGTAACATCTGACGACATCTTAACCACTCAAAGTATACAGGATCCTTCTTTCAAACGAACAAATGAAACATCTGTCATGGAAGAAAATGAAAACATCACAAAAATTGAAATATCGGACACACAAGCATTGGGACAAACAGAGACTCGCCATGTGACGACGGATAATGAAGAAATAGCCGAGGCCACTATTTCCAATGAAAGATTGCATGATCCGTCTTTGGAAATTGTTGCTTTGGTATCAACTGATCAAACGTATGCAACAGATGCAATTGCTGATAAGTCAGAAAAAGAGGTCGTTGAACAAACGGTACCTGCTCTTCTGACGCTCGATATCGGTAATGAAACTGCACCCGATCCCGATTCGAAATTGATTGCATCTGTATCAATTCAAGTAATGTCTACAGTCGAAGAACCCGATTTATCAGCAAAAGAAAGTATTGGTGAATTACAAATTGATCAAACCGTGGCTTGTGGGGTGGAAAACGATGACAAAGGTAAAAATGAGGATATCACCTTCACTCAAATTACTCGGGATTCATCTTTGAAACAAGCTGCTCTGGTATCAACTGATGAAAAATTTACCATTGCCGAACAGACAGACGTCACAGAAAACGAAGATCCAGATACAACAGAACCGGAACAAATGGAGGCTGACATTGTGACAGGCGAAAACAAAAAGGAAATGACAGAGGACACTATTTCCAGTCATGGTTTGCATGATCCGTCTTTGGAACTTGATGTTTTGGTATCCACAAAAGAAATCGATGAAATAGCTGATGCGTCAAAAGAAGAGGCCTTCAGCGCAATACCGATTGAACAAACAGTAACGAGTGATCTTACGATCGACATTCAAACGCAGGACTCGTCTTCGAAACTAGCTGCTTCGGTATCAGCAAATACATCTAAACTAGTGGAACAATCAGACATCACTAACAACGATCATCTGGTTAAAACAGCATTGGAGAAGAAAACGGATAATGAAGATGCGACAGACGGTAACAAAGAAGAAATAGCCAGATACTCTTTTGCCAATGAAGACTTTGACCAAACGGTACCTGATGATCTGACGCTCGATATCGGTAATGAAACTGCACCCGATTCTCATTCAGAACTGATTGCATCTGTATCAACCCAAGACATCTCTTCAGTCGGAGAAACAGATTCGTCAGAAAAAGAAAGTTTTGATGCATTACAGATTGATCAAATGGAGGTTTGCGAGGTGGAAAGCAAAAGAGCTAGCGATACTATCACCATTCAAAATACAAAGGATTCATCTTCGAAACAAGCAGCCTTGGTATCAACAAATAAAACGTCTTCAATTGTGGAAAATTCAGATACCTCGTACAATGAAGATCTGGAAACAGCAGCACTGGGAAAAACAGATGCAACAGATGATAACAAGGAAGAAATAGCCAAGATTACTATGTCTGATCATAATAGGCATGATCCGTCATTGGAATCTAATGTTATGGCATCAAATGACGAAACTTCCTCAATCAATGAAGATCCTGATACGGCAAAGAAAGTGGAGGCTGATACATTACCAATTTATAAAACGGCACCAAGTGATTTGGAATCATCTCTCGAAATGTCTACAATCAAGGAATCAAATACTTCAGAAAAGGAAGCTAAGGACACTTTACCTATGGACCAAGTAGATTCTTGTTATGTGAGAAACGACAAGAAGGAAGAAACAGCTAACGATTGCATCAACATTCAAAATACTGCAGATTCATCCTTGAAAGCAGATGCTTTGGAATCAGCTGATGAAATATACACAGATATCACAAATGAAGCTTCGAATACAGCAGCGTTGGAACAAAATGAAGCTGGTGATCTGACAGACGGTGGCACAGAAAAACTAGCTGACGAAACTGTTCAAAATGATGGTAAACCTGAGCCCTCTGGTGAACCTAATGCTGTTGTATCAAACAATGAAAGACTTGCAATTAATGTAGATATTGATGCGTCAGAAAACGGACACGTAGACATAACAACGTCAGCAGAGCACGACATGAACGTATTTCCTATGGATCAAATGGAGGCTGGTGCTACGAAACATGTTAGCAAAGATGACTTAGCTGAGGAAACCATTTCTGCACATGATACACATAATTCTTCTCCGAAGCCAGCTGATTTGGAATCAAATGATGGAGAGTCTACGAATGAGGGCACTATTGATTCGTCAGAAAAAGAAGACGTGGACAGCGAAGTATTAGACGATAAGGAGGACAGTGATGTAATGAACTACAGCAAAGAGGAAGCTGCTGAGGATGTTTCACTTTCACTAACAACCGATCAAACGCCAGAAGAGGGCACGAATTCTGAAGCAATGGAAATGAATAATGCTGGCCCAATATTACCTCTAGTGCAAGACACTGATGAGAAGCTAAAACCAAAAGGAGATGAGATCATTAGTGAATTATTGAATACAATGGAACAACCTATTAAATCTCCAACAAACACTATGACATCTATGGAAGGAAAACATACCGAAGGAGTTATTGGTAAAGCTGAAACTCGCTCTGTAAAGGATGAATTCGCTCTCGAACAGCCTAACAACCAAGAGTCAGTAGATCTTTTGTACCGACAAGAGTGCTTAGAAGCAGGACGTAGTCCGTTACCCGAATCTTCATCAAGCCAAATCGAAGAAATGTCATTTAGAAACACAGATGAGAAAAAGAACGGTCGAAAAGAAGTCCAAGATAAACACGATAAGGGAACTGTTGATGAAGGCAAAAAAATTGAGTCTAAGGAAGAACAGTTCATGCATTTGGAAGGAGAAGAAAATAAATCAACGATCGATGAACCTGTTGACAAGAGCCACGACCAGATTCAGGACGAAGTGAAACAAATAGAAAAATGTGATGACACTTACAAACCAGTTAAATTAGAAGACAAAAATGAATGTCAGGCTATCAGAGATTCAGATCAAACAAACGCAGAGGAAGACAGAACAACAAACAACGTATCAAAACCTACTGACAAACAAATATCAAAACCATCAGTGGATCAAAATGAAGATGAAATACAGAAAGATAGCGAAAAAACTTCATTGGATATTCATCCGAAAAATATCACTAGCAATCAGATTGCAAGTGATTCAGAGGAGGCTAATGGTGCGGAGTTATTGGACGACCATATCAAAGACAAAACTCCTAAAAACGGAGATATTGATGGTACAATTTCTTCTTCTTCACTTAAGATTGATTTGAACGAAGCAGGGTGTCAACGAAATGAGTCAGAAAAGGACAATAATTCAGACAATGAAGAATACAAAGATGCGTTGGATTATGTACCGGAAGTAGAAGAGTTTACATTGGCACCAGAAGAAAAAAGAGTAAGTGACAAACCAAAGGTCAATCCAAAATCAAAGGGACAACAGCGTATAGACATATCACACGGAAAAGGCAAATCAAGCTTCAAAAAGGGGGCTAAGAAAGAAGTGAAGGAAACAGCTACAAAAGGTTCTAAGAAATCAACAACGGAGGCGGAAGGAAAAGGCCCAAAATCGATAGTCAAGGAAAAACAAAACAGTTTCAAACAGAAAGCGGCTTTCGTTAACCGGGTTGTTTGGCGATAACACTGGTAAGATAATAATATTGACTATCATTCTTACCAGATGAAGGTTTTCTATGAAAATGGATATATTGACAGACTGCTGCAATACAAATCTGTGAGCATTTCTGATGTGTCAGGAACTAAACAAACTCAATGAGACAAAAAGAAGTGAAAAGAAATTATGTCATATACTGAAGTTTTTAAAGTTGATGAAACAGTATCGCTACAAAGTAAATTAAACCATTTTGATATCGTGGGGATGTTAGCAAATTTTGTATGAGTGCTTAACATCATGTGTTTATTTTTCACCTGTGTTGATAATTACGTTTGTGTTCAATCCAAGGATAAAACGAAATATACGACCGCGAAGGGAAAATCGGAAAATGACCTCCGGGCTGTAACGACTCAAATTGTTATCAACTAGAGACGTTATCAATAGGATCATCGTCTTTATCATGCAATGTGAGTTTATGAACTATAGTGAAGAGAATGGCATCATATTACTGTTTATCCCCAACAAGGGAAACCAAAGAATTAACTGTGTTATTATTTAGGTTAGATTATCTATTAACGTAACATCCCATTATTATCTTTAAGCATTAGCCATTAAAAAACATTGATACCTTTGATAACAAGTGATTTATATAGAAGATTAGAAATAGGATACGAGTATATCAAGTCTATTTCACATCATCCGTAGGTGTTTTCTTTAGTTGTTTATACTTACAATGTAATTTCGTTTCGTGCCTCCCGGATTGTATTGATGTACAAAACTGATATTTAGTATGTTTTTTTTCCCGATAAACAGCTATGTATTAAAGGATTTATTGTACGTGTTTGTATAATATGCAGTTATCATACTACTATTGTTTATATATAATTAGTTTTATTGCTAGCCCTGTCATCTTATTGTTTACACGACGTCGGTTTTATAACCAATAAATGAAGCGGTTCGCGTGTATCATATTAAATAACCAAATAGGAGCACAATCTGGAAATAATTTATTATCTTGATCTAGACAATATTTCTTAAACGACTATTGAAATGTTATTTTAGTATTACCTGTTCTCTTTTGTTATGTTACCTCAGTGTGGTTGTTTTGTTGCCACAGTAAATTTTACCCGTGTGTCTGCTTTATAAGACCAGTAGTTTTAACCCGTCTGTTTGTTATATAAGCTCAGAAGAGCTCAGTAGTTTTAACCCGTATATTTTCTATATAAGCTCAGTACACTATACAAGCTTGTTTGTTATATAAATTCAGTACATTATATAAGCCTGTTTGTTATATATAAATTCAGTACATTATATAAGCCTGTTTGTTATGTAAGCTCAGTAGACTTAACCCGTCTGTTTGTTATGTAAGCTCAGTAGACTTAACCCGTCTGTTTGTTATATACATTCAGTAGACTTCACCCGTCTGTTTGTTATGTAAGCTCAGTAGACTTAACACGTCTGTTTACTATGTAAGCTCAGTACACTATACAAGCCTGTTTGTAATGTAAGCTCAGTAGACTTAACTCGTCTGTTTGTTATGTAAATTCAGTAGACTTAACCCGTCTGTTTGTTATGTAAGCTCAGTAGACTTAACCCGTCTGTTTGTTATGTAAGCTCAGTAGACTTAACCCGTCTGTTTGTTATACAAATTCAGTAGACTTCACCCGTCTGTTTGTTATGTAAGCTCAGTACTCTTAACCCGTTCGTTCGCTATGCAACTCGTATCATATATTCGCTATGGTAGCTCAATGGGTAGATTTAACTTAATTAATGAAGCTGTCAATACATAGTGAGATCCGTTATTTTGTATAACTAGAGATTGTTATTATTAACTTTATCACTGACATGTCTGATTTAAGTCTTATTGTTGAATTACCGAATATTTATGTTTTGGTGTCAGTTTTAATGATTAAACGGGAATCACTTTCTTGCAGCTTTTGAATAAAAGATGTGTCATCATAAGTTCATAATGCTTCTGTTTTTTCATTAATCATATGAGTACATTTATTCGTTTAGGGTAGACAATGAATGATTTTTTGTTTTTTGTTTTTGTTCTCTATTTTTTACATTCATAATGTACAACGTATATTTTGCATATTGTACTAGTATATTTATATATCGCGTTAAGGATGCAGCACAAAATAAACTACACATAGGATATATTCTGGTATGTATTTTGCCGATAAATAACACAATGCATGACTTGTCGGAAATCTGCATTTATTTATTCAAATGCCAGTAACTAAATTATGCCAAGTTATGACAAATAGATACATCTATTTGGTATTTTAAGTTATATGAGGTATAAAGCAACAAAAGATGGGGATCACAAAAGATGGAGAATCTTTAATGTATAAACGCCACGCCAAACAAAATGTGGGGACATGCTGCAAAAAGGCAATAAATGTAATACATAATAAGTATCAAACAAAGGTCCATCAGTCTTCTCGAAAGGAAAATATACATTTACCTCACTGAAAAATACAATCGTTCATCTAAACCAGACTCGGAATACAACGGCTAAAATTATCATTTTCTTTTACCCGGATAGATCATCGGCTATGAAATAAAAATACAACAAACTAATTTATGGAACTAAAATGAATTGTGCGTTTACTTAACCGACTGTATAAATTACTTTATGTATCACATCAATACAATTATAAAGTATCATTTTAATGTTCACACTTTAACTCACTCATAGTTACAACCATAAACCTATGTTTACTTAAAGTACCACTAGAACAGTTTGACATTGCATTACAGGAATGTAAATACTGAATTATTATCGGTTGAAATATGTCAAAAATGACCATTATCAGATCGAAAGATGAAACACCCTGACATAGCTGGTTAACGAGAGGAGAAACAAAACTAATCTAAATTTAACTTATTTATTGCATTCTCATTTCATGGATACCATTTTCCTGAACACTATTTTGCAGTAGACTTGTCCATCGTTTACGAAGATGAATTACTAGGGTGCTTACACAGTGGATTATGGTGTATCAAAGAAATACTTCTTAATATAAAGTATATTGCAAATAATCTCATGAGGATTGCTTCCCCTTGACCACATAACATCACATAACTTTAATAGGCCTATTCTTCAGACCTGTACACATATTGATATGTCTTATAAAACAATAAATGCGCTTGGTATCCTCCTAGCCATTGACCTTAGCAAACTTTTCATCCCAAGTTAGGAGCTGATATGTTAAATCTTAAGCTTATTCTTATGAATTTGTCCCATATGAAACAATGCTATGCTTGTTGTTTTAAATGCAATATTTGTGCATGTAACATGAGATTACTGGTGCGAAACGTAATTCTATTATACCCCTTTATATATAAGTCTAGACTTGTGGAATGTGACGTCACTGGCTGTTCTACAGGTACATAAACTCATTTCAGTCCCGGATATACACACAGACGCACGTAACCACACATATATCCAGTACAAAAGGTGAGTGGCGCTTTGTTAAAAGCAAATTGTACACGTTTTAACACGTTATATTTAGAAGCAAGTTATCAGTATACAGACGTGCAGAGTAGTAAATACTTACTGATGGTAGTGTGTATATGTAGTTTGATTTTGCATCTCATTTGTGCTTATCATCATTATTACTTTTGTGTTTTAACTGCTACGCCTATATTTGTAGTCATTCTAATTTATTACTTCCTTTTTGTAGGGACGTCTTTCACCTCTGGACATGGCGAAAGGTAAACCCCGTCTAAATATCTCGAGTCTTTCTATGATTTTGACCTTGTTGATACCATATTGAAATTATAATATCTTGTAGTGAGACTCTATGGAATATATGTAAAATTGTCAATTTATTTTGGAATGTAAATACTGTATGACCATAGAGCTAAATGCCATGTCCTAGTTTATTAAGCGACCTAGAATGGAAGCCAGCTTGTTAATTGTCAACCTTAATCAACCTTGGCGGTCAAATGCAAGTCTTTGCAACACCTTTCGGCCAGTGTTAATTGTCATTTGCTCCACCATATCATTCATATCAACTTGATATTAAAGAAACCATCAACAAGTCTCAAAATATGACCGAACATACTGAACCATTACGAAATGGATAGATGGCTATTGTGATATGTATTAATTGTACTATCAATAGTTAGGCTTAGATATTTTCTTGTGAAAGCTTAAACGAAATAGCCCGCCAGTTTTGTTAAAATTCTTGCTTTTCATTCCTTCGATCATTTCGCAATCCAATGCAATTGGTATGGGTTACACACCACTAATATTGATATTCAATTCAAGTCGTTATCTTTTCATATGTTTATGGTCATTTTGTTTTCTCCAAAGACCCTGTCCTGATGAGATATATAATGCCCCCAGTCTTTGTCAAAATTTTGAGTTCGAAGCAGACTTGAGCTTTTGTGAGATCAAATGATTTGAGTAGTGCAAGATTGAAGATGTTTTATAAAATGAACAAACTTAAAAATTTATGAATTATTGTGAAAATCAGTAAAACATTGATTTGAAATAGACATTTTCTAGCTAAAGTTAGATGTATGTTATCACCCTACATCTAGCAAGATTAACTGTGTAGTACATTTCGTCTGCTAGTCATAACGGTGGAGTAGTAACAGGGTGTAGCTTGAGTGGTGTATATTATCTCGTTTGCCATACTGACAGAAATACTATGATACATATTTGTTCTTCTTTTTTAACAGAATAACAGTTATTTATATGAACAAATATTATTTAATATATGACTCTTCTATCTATTTAAATTATGGTAAAAATAACAAAATAACTTAGGTGTAAAAACACGTATATACTGATTCTAGATTTATAAACAACTGATTACTATATAGCGAAATCACATGCAAAACATAGTGTGTATTGATTGTTTGTTTGTCCTTTTAAGTTATAAACCAAAAGCAATGTTGCTACTGTCTATATTATGTTTACACTGAAATATCTTGTTCAGCTACATAACGCGTTTGTGACATGACATATCCAAACGCCCTGCTCCCGAATTACTGTCCGTTTATAGTTTCAGAATGACATACAAATACATTCGTCTTAGTCACATTAAACTGTACATATTTCATTTAATAATAGAATTATATAATATTCCGTTTAACCATAGCACCATGGATGTTGACGAATGCGTTTATGTTACAGATATATATTTCTCAGTGGTTATCAGTATAGGAGAGACATACTGTAGATCAGCAGCTTGCAGTAAATTCGGTTCGGATAACGATCCGTTCACGATATCGGCAATGGTATGGTCTAGCGCCATTCGCAATGCGTACGACCTAAAAAATTCGACCACCCTCCTTCTACATCCGGACAAGAGCTTCCACTCCTTTGGTTATGAGGCCGAGAAAAATTATGCCAACATGACAGAGGATGAAGAGAAGGATCAAACCAGTTACTATTACTTCCGGAGCTTGCACAACCTTAAGGTAAACCGGTTTTTATCAAACACTTCAATCGATTGGTTCATGCATTCATTCATTCTTGTTTACTGTTACGATTTTACATCATAAGTAAAGGTAATGAGATGTTATTAGGCAATCGTTATTTCATGATGAAGATGCGCTCATCATTTTATGGCAAGACGAAATGTATTACACAACCAGGCTGTAGAATCGAAACCTCGTCGTACCGATGCTTTTTAACCTCTGCTTAACCTTTTTATTCCACCATTTTGCTTCCATTTGTTCTTAAGTAACATTTCCGTTCTCCGTTGATCTATCTTCTGTTGATAATATCATCATAATGTGTTGATATACATGTGCATGTTCTTGCAGAAAATAAACAAAGGCGCAAAAATTAAAGACGAGACGGGTAAGATGTTACCTGTATTCGATGTATTCGTCCATTCCATACGATTCATGAAAGAAGAAACTTTTCGAGTGGTTCCACATACATTCATCCGCGAATATACCATGTTCATGGTAACCTTCCCCGCGAGATGGGGAAACAATGCCAAACCGTGTATACGAGAGGCCGCAGAAAAGGTAGGATAGATAAAGTAATGATTTATTCACAGCCCAAATGAAAAGTTGAATGCAAATATATTAGCAACGAAGTAATAACGTGAATGCAGACGAAGAAATTTATGAAATTTTCGAGGTAATCTACCCATTTATCTTAAATATGAGAAAGTAGTGTACATAATACAACATATAGCTATTTGACTGATTTGTGTATATTTTGTGATGTCATGCCATTTTCCAGGCTGGAATACCTAGAGATAACCTTATTGTAGTCCTAGATCCTGAGGTGGCTGCATTAACCTGCTATTTACCGGAAAGTAACCAGATCGACTCATTTTACAAGCCCATCATGTCAGGAGCTTCTTACATTGTCGTGGATTTGGGAGGTAAATATTTGAAAATTAGTGAAATGATATGGTGGGAATCACTACGAATGATCGTGGTGTACTAATATTTGTCTTTGATTTTTTGGTTACTATTCTATTTCAGTAGGGAGTATCTATAATTTGTAAAACGTCATGAATATATATTCCCCCAAACTAAATGGCGGCGCAAAATTTGAATTGGCTCTTTATCGGTTCATTCACAATGTCACACCTTCCCCTTCGTATCGAACGCTCCACGTACAATGACGTCATTGTAACTGAAAGTAAATTGGGTCTGAAAGGCAAATAATTGTCACCCGGCACCAAGAAAGACATCATGGTTTCGAAGCAAAATTGATCAAGAGTATTAGAAATAAGTAAAATATTGGGAATCAATCGTTCTTCGGTGTGGGAAAATTCGTTCCGAGTGAGCAGAAGTAGAGGTCAAATAGAAATCAACATTACTGAGGGAAGAGGGACAGTTTGACAGATCGTGACAAACGGACACTGCAGAGGTTAATTAAACTAAAACGACGCTCACATTTGAACGATATAATGACTGAATTTAATAGATATGCTCAATTGAAAGAAGCTCGCCGTATCTAAAATGTATAAATTACCGGGGGAAATGTAATTTTAGTGATCTTGAAGCATGGGGACAAAATTCAAGTATGGAGAAAGGCCGCTGAAAGATCGGGAGTTGAATGCTTAGGCTATGTAAGTGTTCATCCCAAAGATATATTTGAAAATAATGGTGAGTAGTTGCATTACCTACGACTGTGTGGGAACTTTGGAATTTGTGGTAGGTAACATGAACTCTGAAAAACATCTTGACGTATCTGAAAATAATGCATAGACTGTAATTCTTAAAAATTTAAATGACAGACAGCTTTACATTCCTAGAGGACAACACCCCTTGTCATGAATCTCGGTCGTGTAAAACATGGATAGCGGACAATCGTCTAACTGCGCTACAATGGCCTGCTAAAAGTCCTGATTTGAGTCCAATAGAAAATAGTTGGTTATTGATGAATAACTCATTAGATTTAAGGTACCAACAATGTTGAAAATCTGAAGTCCGAATACAAATGAACATGATGCAAAACATTGATACATTATAAATACAACAAACAAAGAAGCCACTCAGGAATTGATAATGTCAACTTTCTACATGTTTTATGTATGACGTAGCAGTGGGTGTTTAAGCTCATATAACATTTCAACAGAAGCAGTTAAGATATTGGTATCGATTTCTTTACTGCTATGTATGTTACTGATTATTTAATTACATATTTCTCAAGCAAATAAGCAAAAAGGATTGTTTGTATCAAGAGATTCGCATGGATGCCATCTAGATTGATAAAAAACGAAACTGGTCAACTCAAACTGAACTTGTACATGCATATATGCACTGCTTTTAGAAGAAACATTTTAAGTCTATTTCGAAAGTGTCAATTGTTGGAACGTATTAAGATATTCCAATACATGCATGGATTACTAGCTAAACATTGCATATTGCTAAAGCGTGAAAATGTTCATCTTTATTTTTTTCCCCAAATTGAATATCATAAAATCGTAATTACCTTGCAGGCCCCTCAAACGAACATGATTTCCGTTTACTATTTTTCTGAATACTTTAACATTGTTCTGCAAGTAAGTCAGTCATGACCCTTCTGTGCCAAATTCAATTTACATTGAGATAATATCAAGAAAAGGAAATTGACGACATAAGTATGACCGGCTACCTGAGCACGTGGCGTTTATATTTGTTTATCAGGCAGAACCGGCGACATATCTTACCATCAACATAACGGATTTCTTAGAAAGCTGCTGCCGACTGAAGGAAGAGCACTTGGAGGAAACAGTGTAAACGATGAATTCTGGAAACTCCTGGGGCAGGTTTACGGAGAGAAACAATTACTGCGGCTAAAAAAAGAAAACCCAGACGACTACGATAGTGTGATAAAAGTATTCGAAAATAAGGTGCGTTTCACTTCATTAGAAGGGGACGGGTTTCTTAGAATGAATATCAGGACAATCCTAATTGACAAAGAGGTCACTGATTTAAGTCGATTTTCTGGCAGTTTCCGAGTTGGCCCTGGGGACAAGCTTTCTTTCAGTCTGGAACAAATCCGACGATTGTTTGAAAAAACTTTAACAGCTATTGAAACAGGCATCGAGAGGATCCTGCATGCTCATCGGTTAAAAGGAGCTGAATACATATTGCTGGTTGGCGAATTCTCGGAGTGTAAACTTGTGCAAAGCGCCATCAGGAAAAGGTTCCCTCAGAAGAAAGTTATCGTGCCATGTCAACCAAGGCTGGCTGTTGTTAAAGGGGCAGCTCTCTTCATTTTCATTTCAAAGACAATGAATAGCGAAGCGCGATGTACTTATGGTGTTCAACACTGGCCAAAGTTTGACAAAACTCGACATCCGTTAGACAAGCTGGTGGTGATTGACGGGGTCATTCGATGCAAAGATGTTTTTTTCAAATACATCGAAAGGGGTGAACAGATTCCTAAAAACCGAAGAATATCACATGTGTGTTCACTGTTTACCTCCAGCACCGACACAGTAGAGTGTACAGTGTACGCATCATGCCATCGTGACCCTCAGTTTACCGACGACGAGGGATGTGCTGTCCTAGGAGTGCTACGGGCACCCTTCACTGTTGACAGAAAGGTGGCGGAGGTGGAGATAGAACAAACCCTTATCTTCAATAAGACATGCATCACGTTACAGGCAATAAACATGGAGACTGGACAGGTCTGCGAAACACAGATGGAATATATGTAAGTAATATTCCATATGTCAATTATCAGTGCAATTTTATCTAAATATACTACATAGTACTGCTTTGAAAAACTGCTTTTTTGATTTACTCCATCATATGATAAATGTACACTTCTATTCCATCCTTTTCATACAACCTGTTATTTATCAATTATATACTTTTTTATTCTAACAAAGGAGTTAAAGACTTATCTGGTTAACGTAAACACTCCGAAAAAATGTATTTGTCTATCTCTCTTTTTCAGGTAAATGCAATGGGAGGATGAGTTCACGGAAGGAGGTGACCGGTGTCGACCCACACGCAATTGTGTACATACTATATTTTCTGGCAATAGACGCCGTATCTGTCTGTCTGTCGTTTTGTGTCCGTGTTGACGCAACTAGTGAACGTCTGCATTTGCTTGTCAAATGTACCAGAAACGATTTCCGTGACAAGTTAGCTTAAAACTTGGAAACTATCATATTTACTGATGTAGGTCATAGGTCCAACGACACAGAAAACTGTTGATATAGCCGCGTACTTAGTATGGATGTAATATCATACACATATCAAGTAGACTAGGTCCATGTTTCTATGTGTGTATTCTTCATAAATAATATCTTCCTCTCCTGTAAAGCACTTTAACATTTAGGGGTCACAAATCTTCGCGGTTTCGATCTGTAAGCAAATAAATGCGGTTTTATTTTAATGACAGGTCATCAAAAGCTAAGAATAACTGATTTTATAACAGAAAGACATAACATTTCTGTTGTTTGTGCTTTGAGAACTTTCCCCATGCCGCCAATAAAGTGAAAATATTAACCCCGAAATTTAAGCGCTATACAGTATTCAAGTGGAAAACATGACAAACGTTATACTGTGCAATTATCAGTTGTAAATATTATTTCGGTAGTTGTTGTGCTAATGTTCACTCTGTTTTATTGGTTATTAAAATAATATGCATTTGCACGAATTATACAACAGCTTCTTAAGATGTTTATATAAGTTCATATCCTAAAATAAACGATTGACCCTCTTTCTACTGTATCTGTATTAAAAAAATATATATACTGCAAAAACCACATATCGCTTAGGTGTCTGACAATATTTCCGTATAATTTCGTAGAATGATTTGTTAGATATAGCAAGATATTCTAAAAGGATAACAATAAAAACAAAACAAACATTATTGGGTTTTTTTGTAAGTCAAGATAAATGTATGAAAATATTTTCGGATTATTATTTTTAGGGCTTACGAAGGTCCATTTAATCAAAATTTAATTAAAATTTCTTAAAGGACACCTTTAAGAAATTTTGATTAAATGGAACTTCGTTAGCCCTAAAAAAATCCAATTACAGATACAAATGAATATCAGTATAATTAATCAGGGCAAATCGCGAATATTTTAGGCACGACGCTGAACTTTTTACACCAAAAACATTATTTTTAATGAATACCAACATGCTTGCAGCACCGATACAAAAAAAAAAAAAAGATAAAACCTTTTCTATGTATCTAAAAACATTTGTGAATCATTTTCTTCATTTTAAAATGAAAAAACAGAATCAGATTCAGGCATTTTGGCTGATTCAAACTAAAAGATGTTAAAGAGAAATTGGAAGCCCATTATATCGACCCATTTTACTATGTCATACGGACATGTCATAAATATGGTATTACACATGTGATGTGTAATAAAACCTAAAGGTACTGCGATTGGTCAAAACCGTGGGAAAATATTCCTACGCCACTAAAGGTACTACTTCTTTTTACTCAACGTCATGATACATTTATTGTTATTTTAAATTAATTTCATGTGTATTTTGTTATTACTATTAATTTTTATCATTGCATTTAAAATTAGTGTTCATGTCATGTTAAGTTTTTTAAACTCGTTCAATAGTTTGATATGAATCTCGCCTCAAGGCTGCTGTTATATCAAATTATTGAACTCATTTAATAATTTCAATATGACATGGTCACTCATGTCAGATCCTCTATTTATCGGGCAGATTGCCCTAAAATCTTTACAAATTCCTTTGTCAAAGCTATCGTTGTTTCCTCTTTGCTTATGTATCTATTTAAGTAATACATATCCAACAGACATTTCTTTGTTCGTATCCAGTGCCTGCATTTGTTCATATTGTCGTTATTACATATGAGACATATATATATAAGATATGACACACAATATTTTTTTGGGTAACAGAGAGCTTACTCAATTCAATGTGTTTAAAACATTGGGTGTTATATACATAACTTTCACATTTAAGTTTTAATGTGCATAGAAGAAATATTATAAAAAATATATTCCCAAATGTTAGAGGATTTTCAAACGTTAATGCAAAGGGCTTTTAAATACTACAGTTTTAAGAAGTGTGTACATCATATTAGTCAGAAGCAGATCTGAGTACTATACTGGGATTTGGTCGCCCTTTTAATTAGCATTTGGAAATTGCCCTAAGGATGTTTAAAGATTGATATGCATGTAAGTCAAAATTAATTTTGATGGTTAACCTTATATATATGTGAGTAAGCAATTTAACTTACCTAGTCTGGGATGTAGACGGTAATACTTGGACAGTATTTTTGCTTTATAAATGAGTGTCCATAGCCTCTTTGTTCTTATTCATCAATTAGGCTTTTATATGTACTAGGACGAAGTATTGGAATAAATGTGAAAACTTCGTTTTACGACCCATTTTGCAGATTTTTCTTATCAGCTAAGACATTTTATTTTAACCTTATAAAATATACTTATAATTTAGATATTGTGTGCCAGACTCTGTCAAGGTTTCGGGAACAGCTGAAATACAAAACGTTTTAGCCGCCTACTGTTTACCAGAGTATTGTTGTTTTACTTAAATTTATAACCAGATTATACCACACATGTTATTACTTATCTTATAATTATTTGACCTACAGGTCTGTTGAATTCAATGAATTGATATAAAGAGTGCCTGAAGAACAAACGTCGGACGTATGATTTCGTCCAACATAACAGTGTTGTCCTACGACGATGCTATCAACAAATGTGAAAGAAGAGAAAAAAAATAATAGATATTTTTCAATTTTCTTTTTCATCTTTTTTCTCTAATAAGGTGTTCTCTGGGACACTATTTAATGTCTATTGACTCACAAGAAAACGAGGAGTTGACAGCGCTTTCAGGTAGTCAGCTTCAAACATTCTTTTCATAAAGAAAACAATTTTGTCAGCTTTTGAAGAAAATATCATGGGACACGGCTTGGTCAATCGCTGCAGACCAGTTAACGTAATTGAATAGAGCTTACGGTTACATAAATCAAATACGATTTATGTATTATTTTATATTTTCAAGTAAAAAAAGACATTTGGTAATTGATATATATGACTATGAAATGGAAATATTTGTGTCTGTCGGTTTAATTTGTTGATAGATAAAGTCCTGTATATTGATGATATTGTGTTGACATTTTTACAACTACAGTGTGTACAACGATTATCCTGTCCGTATTTCTGATCAAGTAAATACGAATTTCGTACATAAAACTGATGGAATTTTCCAGTAATAGGCGATATCAATTATGAACAAACTTGAGAATATTCAATTATTAGTATGTGTATTATTAATAAACAATATTTTTACAAATAAAATAGTTTCTTTTTTCTATGTTTAGCAGTTTGTTTGAATATTTTGAGACAAATCATTTCGTGACATCAAGTTTAAATAATAGCGAAAATTTCCGAATAATAAGATGGAAAGAGGACGAAACTGGAACCTATAGAACACACGACCTTGTTCCTGCAAAATTTACTGTTCAATCATTTGGTACAGTAATACAGTTTATATAAAATGAATCATGAGTTAAAAGAAACCACCCAGAAATATCGATTGAACGTAAATGTAAGGTTTGATGCGCATCATACTAATTTATCATCGTTTGCGACACAGCTCCATCAAACTAATGCATAATACTTATTATGGACCCTTATGGAGTTATTTCCCTTGAAACGTATATATCTGTGTAAGTTATAATATATAACTATGTTGACCATCATCTCTGTTGTTTCTCTATCTGTAGGTGAAACCATAAACAGGTTTACTGCTGATGTTGTCATGACAACCTATCCAGAAATGGTTTTACTATGCAGTACTTACATTTTTCCTATGCTATTACTGGAAATATAATTCAAACATAATTACCTGTCAGTCACGTGTAGCATATGATTGTGAAAGGAAACTGACATTTACAGTCATTTTCCTTAATCACTCTCACACATTCTCCAAAGCTTTTGTATGAATTATTATCGATAGTGTATATCGCGATGCGATACGAATATAGCAGGAATAATAATGTTATCCCTTACTGTACAAAGCGATAAACATATAGCACAAAAAACGAATACGTTATAAACATACATACAAGAAATGTATAACAAAAACGTAGAGATAACGTACCTATATTTTGTTTTGATATAAACATTGCAATGAAGACTTCATATATGGATTAACTTGAATATATTTTTCATGTTATGGAGATTCAACATAAAAAAACGGAGTGTACTCTAAATAAACCGCGTAGCGGTTTATGATGAGAGTACACTCCAGTTTTTTGTGTTATAGCTCCATAACATGAAAAATATATTCAAGTCAATCCTTATAATTTAATCTACTATACACAATCCATGTGGAAATCCTATTTCATTGATGGACTCTTTTGTCTTAGAAATTACTATGCCGCTGTATTGGCCAATCAAAAGCGACGTTACAAACGGCGACGTCATTTTTTATGTTATGGGCTGATAACATAAATTTTTAAGCCAATGAAAATGCTTGTTACATCAAGATTGAATTATTATCAAAGATACTGAAAACCTGTTCGCCTAGCGATAAAGATATCACAACAAAGATAGTGTGCGCTATATATGGCAAATGCATAATATAAGTAATATAAGTATTTAAACAATGGCTTAACATATTGTTGATTTCCACGCAGTCAGCAAATACAATAACATCAAAACTATGTATGTGCAGCTAGCGTCCTTACATAGTCAGTAGAGATGCCCGCCATCGTAACATTACACACAGTGAGTTCTCCTCTTATATTAACCTCAAAATAAAACAAATGGAATACGACTTTCATTGATATCCTTGCTTTAAATTGACCGCTATGTGTATATTTTACTATCAAAAGTCTCAAACAGGATGTTTACTGCTTCGCATTGGTTTCTTGCAAGATTAGATTTCAGGAAACTTTAAAAATAAGCATGGATATCAATGACAACGCAAAAATATAAACTTATAAACAGCATTGTATAAGTTTTTAATCCAAACATAAGCTGATAGAATGCAAAAAAAGTGATTGATTAGGCGAAAGCACTACTAGGCTATCTCTCCGCCGTAGTTTCCAATGTTAAAAAGTAAATTAAAAAGTATCCTATCTAAGAGGGTGTAGGTTAACTTCATTTTTTTTTATGAAGTCGAAATATAACTCATCCAATCAACATCGATCACAGTTTTTGCTATATTACTTTGACTTTTCTAATGAGAAAAATATTTGAATATGTTGCCCTTCGCAGTTAAATTCTAACAATTATCGGGATTACCACTAGGAGGATCCATGACATGTCATACCATATTCCGGGCTACCAACACAAATCATACAGGATTGCCACCACGAGTCCAAAATTGTGGATGCTACCTTTTGGAGGAATTATTATGATTCGCAAGATGTTATGCTGGTGATAACATCAAATTACAACATTAGTTATCCTCACGGTACAACCATAAGTACCCAGGTAATGGGTTTCGAAGTGTTAACATAAGGTACACATGTGATTGAACCTAAACAATTTGGTAATAGATACAGAGTGTCAGAAGTATTATACATTCCACTATATAGCTGTTTCGTCATTCTTCCCTCATTGTTGATCATAGGGGACCAAGCATTTAGAAATTATAATTGTTCTAAACTACTGTTGAAGCAGAAGGGGAGTACATGAACCACCTAATGATATGTTTTTTGAAAAATAGATGAGTACTGGTTCCTGTCAAATCAATGACGGTACAGAAGCCTTATGAACATTTTAGAACATAGACTGCAAATTAGATTTGTGTCTTTATACAAATATCAAAATGTACACAGATCGATTCTCCGTCAACGTTACCAAATTCTGTTTGATATCGTTAACTACAGTCGGTTTAGTGTGAAAATTACAAAACGTGTTATCATCACAGTAGAACACAAATATCAAGTTTATTTTTATTATTAAACTCTATGCATCCTGTATAACAATGGTAGAAAATAAACTGAATCACTTTTATGTACAACAGTATTGATTCTTAAAATACTGCTAAAATAACAAATATACTTGAAATGACAGTCTTTTAATAAGCACATTATGTTCATCTCACATGTAGAATCAATTATATAAAAGGACCTTTTATACAACATTATAATCGTATTAGCAATTACTTCTACAACAATGATCAATATACAAAGGGAGCTATTGTTTGACACACATATAGACCGCCAATCTGGCCAAGTATTGATGTTGATAGACGTATCTTAAACGTAAGAGAGGACAATATGAACATGAATTCTCGTAAACAGGATATAAGGAAATGCGTTTATTGAATTATACCTCAATGGAGTCGTATCACAAATCAAGAATTCTATAATACAGATATGGTATAGTGTTGCCGTATGCTCTGTCTCGGTGCTCACATTCATATGTGTATACAGGATATTAAAGAAAAACAACCTATCATAGAAAGATCATTATAGGTTAAATATGTACACTTCATTACTATCTAGGAATCCGTGACTGTCCATCGGATATAGATACATAAATGTCATAAACACAGACACGATCGTTTACAAACTTATCTTGTTACTTTGTCGTTTGACTTCGGCAACATTTCTAGGGTCGTTGTACCGAATAGACTGTGTGGGTGGTTCTTGGTACTGTACATTAATGGTAGATGAATTAGAACGATTCTCTGAGGTGTATGTGTGGTTGTTCTCGTATAGCCACTAGATCTCCTTTGCTGAGAGGTATACAATAGACAGTTTTTCCAGTTTAAATGTGACAATCCTGGTGAACCTGAATCACGGTATAGAAAACGAGCCGCTCTCCTGTGCTCCACATCAATATTTCGAATATTATTGAATCCTATATCACGCTAACATACGTTGGTAAAACCTGATCTTTGGTGGACGTGCACGATTATTCTGGTGATTTAAAGAGCTGGTGTTATTTGCTCTCTTTTGTCAACTTGCCTATGTGGTTTAAACAGCTTAAGTGTTCTGCTATCTCAGCCTTTAAGTGTTTTGATGACTTCACTGTTGCGAACAGAGTGATTTGCACGCTGTACATTTGCAGGTATTTCCAAAAAGCAAGCGAAAACATTTAGTGTAAAATGTACATTCCAACGTGTATTGATACGTGGATTTATTATGCGCTCGTGTCTGCTTGCTTGTAGTGCGAAACATATAGTAATTACATGGGGTGCAACCAAGCATATTTTGTGTCATTTTTTAGACACTTTGATTGGCTAATACTAGATCCACATCAAATAACAGTAATTCAGTAAATCAATTATTATCATTGCTATTATAGTGTGCCTCCTAACGCTTGATGCTTGGGACAAGCATAAGAAGATATTGTTTGATATACGATAATTCTTAATACAGCGAACACCTTGAAGCGTATCGTCGATTTCCCCATATCACACAACGTATATCATCTCTCTGTAACCTTGGTTTTGCATAGTATATTCCAATTTCTATAGCAATACAAGAATCATGCACATGGCATCTACAGTTCATAGATTTACGTTTATATTTTCTAAGTAAAGGACTATTGAAAACGAAATTTCATTAAAACGATCAACACCTCTTGCCTCTTGTAGACGCTGAGTTCTGAGTTCGGTAACTGTGATTAATTCATCACTTGAAAAATGCTCAGCAAATCCCAGGGTTCCAAAACCAAGGACCAAACATCGCAGTCGAGAAAATATATCCAATTCCTCTTGCAACTACGGTAAGTGGACCCAAAATGTGACACTTGTGAGAAGTAAAAATGTAGGTGTATGGCATGGGATTTAAAGCTTTTATCTGAAATAACGAATAATTCCGATAAACAAGTCGCAGAATATATCATCAAGATGGACTAGCCTCAGTGAAACGACTGTAAAATACAGACTTTAATATGCGTTACTGTGGCTCTATCAATTTTGAGAGTAGTATATAAACGAAATAATACCAAATAGAAAACATAATCGACAGATATGACACATACATCACAAAAGACGATGGTTAGTATATACTGGTATCAGTTAATGATATGTTAAAAAAGAGTTCGAACAGTCTCGTCCTATGATTGTTTACTGTTAAAAACATATTTTTATTCAAATGATACGGCGATATCTCCCAACTCGGTCACCAGGATTGATCAGTTATTACACAACCAGTCGGATGTGCTATCTCAAATACGTTTTCTGTAAGGTATAGTAGGACGAGGTAAAAGGAAAGAACGGAATACCATCGCTCCATCATCCATCACTACAAGCATCATTATCGCTTACAACGAGACGTCAGATAGGTAATTATATATTCAAAATCTAGTAGATTATCATCCACAGTCAAACTCATACAGTATGATGACATTGTTTTTCATATAACAATGCACGTTCTAAAAAAAAACAGTTTTCAAATTCGCGGGTGTTATATGTTATATTTTACTAAACGTGGATTCACACTTGCGTACCTAGCTGGTAGCGACATGACTTATATCTTACTCTATTCAAAAGGAAATGCTTTATTTGTTTGCTGTTTGTTTCTTCTTGTTAGAGGAAGGTGAGTTAACAAATAGAAATAGATTTACGGTGAAAGATACCATCCTTTTATTTCCTGTTCTTGCTATTGATAAGTATTTTTTATGACTTTGAACATGAGATGATGTCTACAATTTTAAGTTGGAAGCATTCTCAGGAGTTGGGGGTCAAAAATTGTACAACTGATAGTACTGACCATCTTCGGTTGAAAGACGATGCCGCAAAAAAAATGTTATACAGCATTTCATTGACCATCTGGAAGTATGGAAATGAATAGCAAAACTATTTGGTTGCAAGTATTACACATAATGGGGATTTAATAATGAACAAGTTTGGAGATTAGACCCCCGGGAGGCAAAGAAAGGTTACCTGAGCAATATGCTTTATATGGTCTGCTCTAGAATATACAAAAACCTACATTGTATGGGATGGATATTTACCATATCTAAGGTAGAAGGGTCATGGACATTTACAAATGAAGGGATCAAGGGGGAAATGAGACGGGGTTGAAGAGCAAGGTAAAATGATGCGTCAATCTCTTATTAAACGACTACTTCTCTGCAGCTATGAGAAGAAAATCAACCATGAAATGGAGGAATTTCAGGTTATAAACATTCAAAATTGTAAATAAGGGAGGGACTGACACCGGCCCCCATCCCCAAAACCCCTGGTGTCTTTATCATAACTTTGAAACTGCTGAATTCCCCATCCGATACCACATATATCAAAATTTGGCATGAAATGAAGTCCACGAGCAGGCCATCAGAATTTAGAAGGCGAGCTATCTCCTGATTCAGTTTAAAGGACGACAGTTAGTATAAGTTGAAATAAATTTTTTTATAGTTGTTGTAAGATAAATATAGTTTATACTTATCCGTCTTAACCCATGTTAGTTCAGCAGGTTTAACCTACCTGTTCTCTATGTAAACGCAGTAGACTTTATCCGTCTGTTTGATATATTAGCTAAGTAGGTTTAATCCGTCGTTTGCAATTTAATCTCTGTAGACTTAACCTGGTTTTGGACATAAAAGATAAGTGGATTTCCACGTCTGTTTGTAATGTTAACCTGCCTGTTTGCTATGTAAGCTTAGCAGGCTAAACCATTCTGTTGCTAGGCTAGCTCAGTTGGTTTAACCCTTGTTGTATATCCGTTATGATAGCTTAATGGGCCGCTTGGATTACCATAGAATATCTGTGAAGCTATCAATAAACAGTGAGATACGTTATTTTATATAACTGGAAATGTTGTTATTATAAACTTTGTAAGTGACATCTTATCTGAACATAGTCATTATGATAAATCACCGAATATGGCTGTTTTGGTGTCAGTTGTAATGTTTAATGGGGGATAGCACATTCTGTTGCTGATTTGAGTTAAAGGTTGATGTGCTTTCACAAATTCACAATGCAAATTTTATTAAAGGACATATTGTGTAAGCATCTTTTAATTCTGTTGATATGTTTTATATTAAAAACAAATACGGCTATATTACCGCCCTAAAAATCTTTGCCGAGTTGTTTTAACCAATAATAAATCAGACACACACATATACACTAACACCTATATACACATACATAATTTGTAATCTTTTGTAATGTAAAACATTTTTTTTTTACTTTTACCCTATCTAGGCCTCGAACCTAAGACCTCAGGCACCAACTTGCCTAGCAGGTACAATATGTAGTTTTGGCAATGTTGGTCGTCCTCATGAAAAGATGTGATGGTACTGCATTGCTCAACAGCCCAATAATCTCGAAATTATCGTAGTGACAAGTCGTCTATGGATAATCTGAATACCGGAATCGCAATGTATTAAATATTAAAGGAAATGTATCGCACAAATATATTGAAGACAAAATGAAATAACGATAGATGGCTTATGTTAAACTTTCGACTGAACATCCACTGATGTGCCTTTTCTGAACACTGCTTTTTTTCAGAATTGAGAAGTGTTCCGTCATGTTCGAAAATGAATTACTAGTGTGCTGTCACAGTTGAATTTTGGTCTATATCTCTTTTGGCGAAGAAAAACAGATTTAAACAAGTACTAATTGTAATAGGGGAACATTACCGATGTCCCCCAACCCCCACAGTTATGTTCGCAGTGCAAAAATAGACCTACATATGACATTTGATCAAAATCGACCATCATTTAATTTCGACCAATCCGAGGCCGTAGCGGCCTATGCCGTTGAATTCGAGGTACCCTAATACCCATATATACCCATTTTCAACAAATTCGAACTATATCTTAATTTCGACCAATCATAAGCCTCCGTGTGGTTGCTATGGTAACGAAACCAATGCAGTTGAATTCCCAGTCCCCTAATTCCCCTATATACCAATTTTCATCTAAATCGAACAGTATTTAAATTTCGACTAATCAGAGGCTGTGGCGGCCATCTTTGATGACCGGTCGGAAAATGAAAGGTCATTTGCACACACCCTTTGAAGGCGGAATAATAAAAATAAGAAGAAGAGGAAGAAGAAGGAGAACAAGAAGAAACGGAGTAAAACCAATAAGTCCTTAAATATGTGCATCAAAGAGTTGCTCCTTACCATTTTCAAGTATATGGTAAAAATCTCATGATAATCACTTTACTGTGATCATGTAACATCACAAGATTTGAATAGGCTTTTTTTAGATTTGTATATCTCCATGCATATTGTTTTTTTTTATAAAACAATATATATATATAACTTATATGTTTTTTTCAATATTTTTGTGACGTTTTGTGACAAAAGTAAGCAGCGGTGTTTTTGATATATATATTTTTTATTTATTTTCTATTTGTATCAGTTGATGATACCGCAAGCACTGTAACCTTATAACCTATCGGGTATATCTTCTCTGCGTCAATTTTAGCTTGAATTTTAGCAACATTCTACGCATTTGGACAAATAGTAATTTATACAAGATTTAATTTTAAAATGTATACATGTTAGTTTTTTTCTGTTTTAAATGAAATGTTCCAAATGTTTTGAAACATTGATTTCACATCAAAATCAAATTTAGCATACATTCTAGCATTGTGTTTCAGATCCTCCTAGCCATTGGACCTTAGCGAACTTTTCATCTCGTGTTACGAGCTGGTATGTACAATCCTACGATTCATATGAATTCGTCACAGACAGAACAATGCCTTTGACGACGCTACTTCTGTTGTTGTAAATGCAATATTGCGTGTATGTAACACGAGTGTACTGGTGTATGTAACACGAGTGTACTGGTGTATGTAACACGAGTGTACTGGTGCATGTAACACGAGTGTACTGGTGCATGCCTTTTGTTTATTCATACCTTTTGTCGTAAGTCTGGGCTGCTTGACTCTCTTGAGTGGCACTTTGTTAAAAGCAAATTAAGGCAAATTTATCACGATGTGTATGTAATCAAGGTAGCATTATACAGACATGCTGAATAGTTTATATTCTACAAGCATCAGTTATCAGCTCAATGTGGGGAAGGTTCATGCCATGCCTAGCTTCCAATTTCTTGAGGGTGGACACATTCCACGATCTTCACAATGTGGCAATGCTTATAATGTGATTTATTTTTTTGAATGTCAATGAAATATCAGAGCACAGTACATTTGTTATATATTTTCTTTTAAATTAAATGCAAGTTTCATATATTTTGACTGATGGGTAATTTATGCAGTTCAGTTAATTTTGAAGTAAAGGATTTCACAACAAAATGCATACAGTCAATAATAAAGCGATAAGCACAACTATAGCAAAGATGAAATCCTCCTCGTCATATGTCTCAATGAACTTTAAATTTCAAGTTACTGGCTTGTATGTTTAATACATGTACTACCTGGCTATTCTTATGAATTAGTCCTCTTTGAAAAGAATCTTTCCAATTGTAAAGGTTTAACACGTTACATTTAGAAATAAGTTATCAGTATACAGACGTACAAAGTAGTAAATAATTACTGATGATAGTGTGTATATGTAGTTTGCATCTCATTTGTGTTTATCTGTATTACTTATTATAAAACTTTTTTGTTTTAACTGGTACGCCTATATTCGTAGTCATTCTAATTACTTCCTTCCTTTTTGTAGGGACGTCTTTCACCTCGGGACATGGCGAAAGGTAAACCCCAACTAAATATCTTGAGTCTTCATATTGAAATTATAATATCTTGTAGTGAGACTTTTTGGAATGTAAGTGAAATTCTCAATTTATTTTGGAATGTAAATACTGTATGGTCATAGGGATTAATGCCATGTCCTAGTTTATTTAGCGACTTTGAATGGACGCCGGCTTGTTTCTTGTCTCGGGAAACAACCTTATCAATTTGGGGAAAAAATAAAGATGAACATTTTCACGCTTTAGCAATATGCAATGTTTAGCTAGTAGTCCAAGCATGTATTGGAATATCTTAATAGTTTACAACAATTGACACTTTCGAAATAGATTTAAAATGTTTCTTCTAAAAGCAGTGCATATATGCATGTACAAGTTCAGTTTGAAAATTGACCAGTTTCGTTTATCAATCTAGATGGCATCCATGCGAATCTCTTGACACAAACAATCCTTTTTGCTTATTTACTTGAGAAATATGTAATTAAATAATCAGTAACATACATAGCAGTAAAAAAATCGATACCAATATCTTAACTGCTTCTGTTGAAATGTTATATGAGCTTAAACACCCACTGTTACGTCATACATAAAACATGTAGAAAGTTGACATTATCAAATCCTGAGTGCCTTCTTTGTTTGTTGTATTTCCTATTTCATAAAGAGGTCACTGATTTAAGGCGATTTTCTGGCAGTGTCGAAATTGGTCCTAGGGAAAAGCTTCGTTTCAGTCTGGAACAAATCCGACGATTGTTTGAAAAGACTTTAACAGCTATTGAAACAGGCATCGAGAGGATCCTGCATGCTCATCGGTTAAAAGGAGCTGAATACATATTGCTGGTTGGCAAATTCTCGGAGTGTAAACTTGTGCAAAGCGCCATCAGGAAAAGGTTCCCTCAGAAGAAAGTTATCGTGCCATGTCAACTAAGCTTGGCTGTTGTTGAAGGGGCAGCTCTCTTCATTTTCATTTCAAAGACAATGAAAAGCGAAGCGCGATGTACTTATGGTGTTCAACACTGGCCAAAGTTTGACAAAACTCGACATCCGTTAGACAAGCTGGTGGTGATTGACGGGGTCATTCGATGCAAAGATGTTTTTTTCAAATACATCGAAAGGGGTGAACAGATTCCTGAAAACCGAAGGATATCACATGTGTGTACACTGTTTACCTCCAGCTCCGGCACAGTAGAGTGTACAGTGTACGCCTCGTGTCAACCCGAACCTAAGTTTACCGACGACGAGGACTGTGCCTCCCTGGGAGTGATGCAGACATCCTTCACTTTCGACAGGAAGAAGGCGATGATGGAGATAGAACAAACCCTTATCTTCGGTAGGACATGCATCACTTTACAGGCAATAAACATGGAGACTGGACAGGTCTGTGAAACACAGATGGAATATATGTAAGTACATACAAAAATGTAATATTCCTTATGTCAATTTTCAGTGCAATTTTGTCTAAATATAGCACATAGGTCTACTTTGAAAAACTCCTTTTTGATTCACCCCATCATATAATAAGTTAACACTTACATTCCACTCTTTTCATACAACCCGTTTTTTTGATAAACTATATACTTTTTATTCTAACAATGGAGTTAAAGACTTATCTGGTTAACGTAAACTCTCGGAAAAAAAAAATTTGTCTATCTCTCTATTTCAGGTAAATGCAATAGGAGGTTGAGTTCACGAAAGGAGGTGACCGGTCTCGACCCAAACGCAATTGTGTACATAATATATTTTCTGACAGAAGACGCCTTATCCCCCTGTCTGTCGTTTTGTGTCCGTGTTGATGCAACTAGTGAACGTCTCTCTGCATTTGCTTGTCGAATGTACAAGAAATGTTTTCCGTGACAAGGAAGCTTAAACATTTGAAAATATCATATTTACTGATGTAGGTCATAGGTCCAACGACACAGAAAACTGTTGATATAGCCGCGTACGTAGTATGGATGTTATATCATGACGATATTTGCATTCTGTTCAGGTCCGTATTTATATGTGTGTATTCTTCATAAACAATTTCTTCCTCTCATGTAAAGCGCTTTAACATTAAGGGGGTCAAATCTTCGCGGTTTCGATCTGTAAGCAAATAAATGGGATTTTAATTTAATGACAGGTCATCAAAAGCTAGGTATAACTGATTTTCTAACAGAAACATTTCTGTTGTTTGTGCTTGAAAACTTTCCCCATACCGCCAATAAAGTGGAAATATTAATCCCGAAATATAAGCGTTATACAGTATTCAAGTGGCAGACAGGACAAACGTAATACCGTGCAATTATCAGTTGTAAATATTATTTCGGTAGTTGTTGTGCTAGTGTTCACTCTGTTTTATTGGTTATTAAAATAACAAGCATTTGCACGAATCATCAAACAGTTTCTTAAGATGTTTATATAAGTTCATATCCTAAAATAAACGATTGACTCTTTTTCTACTGTGTCTGTATTAAAAAAATGATATACTGCAAAAACCACATATCGCTTAGGTGTCTGACAATATTTCCGAATAATTTCGTAGAATGATTTGTGTTATATATCAAGATATTCTAAAAGGATAATAATAAAACAAACAAACTTTATGTTTGGGTTTTTTGTAAGTCAAGATAAAGGTATGAAAATATTTTCGGATTATTATTTTAAAACGTATCCTCTAACTTGTAAAATTTTGATTAATTAGAACTTCGTTAGCCCTAAAAAATGTATTGATTAATGTATATGCTAATTGTATTAATTGTTTATCTATGTACTGTAAAGCGCTTGAGAGTGGCTTATGTTAGCTAGATAGGGCGCAATATCAAATGTTGAATATTTATTTATTTATTTAAGAAATTCCAATCACAGATACAAATGAATAACAGTATAATGAATCAGGACAAATCGCGAATATTTTAGGCACGACGATGAACATTTTACAACAAAACCATTATTATTAATGAATGGCAACATGATTGCAGCCCCGATACGAAAAACAAAAGATAAAACGTCTGCTATATATTCAAAACTATTTGTTAGTCATCTTCTTCATTTAAAAATGGAAAAAAAATAATAAACTGAAATATGTTAAAGAGAAATTGGAAGTCTACTATATCGACCCATTTTACTATATCATACAGTCATGTCATAAATATTATACAATATTACACATGTGTAAAAAAAATCTAAAGGTGCTGCGATGGGTCAAAACCGTGGGAACCTATTCCTACGCCACTAAAGTTACTACTTTTATTACCTATACTTCGTGATCCTTTTATAGTTATTTTGAATTAATTTGAAATGCGTATTTTGTTTTTTTTATTTATTTTTATTATTGCATTTTAAACTCTTCATTATTTAAAAAAAAAAGGTGAAAAATAAGTCTGAAACTACAATAGTATGAACGTAGTACATTGGGTTTTAAATAAATAATCAGACGAGAACACATAATTGTGTTTTAAATTGTTTTTCCAAAATAATGAATGTTATGTGATAAATAGAATCTTACATTCGTGTCTATGTCATGTTAAATTTATTATACTCGTTCAATAGTTTGATATGACTCTCACATGAAGGCTCCTCTTATATCAAATTATTGAACTTGTTTAATAAATTCAATGACATGGTCACTCATGAAAGATCCTCTATTTATCGGGCGGATCGTCCTAAACATTTTACAGATTCCTTTGTCAAAGCTGTCGTTATTTCTTCAATACTTATGTATCTATTTAAGTAATGCTTAGCCATCAGGCATTTCTTTGTTCGTTTCCAGTGCCTACATTTGTTCATATTGTCGTTATTACTTATGAGACCTATATATACTAGTATACATATCAGATATGACACAAAGAGGTCCTTGGTAACAGAGAGCTTTTAAGTTAAACGTGTGGAAAACATTGGGTGTGTAGTTAATTTCAACTTAATGTTTTAAAGTGTATAGAAGAAATATTTTATTTAAAAGAAACGAAATGTTAGGTATTTTTAAACTTTCATGCAAACAGTTTTTCAGAAGCAGTACTGTTCTGAAATTGGGTCACTCTATCTGTCCACTCTCAATACGTATTTGGAAATAGTCCTAAGAATGTTTTCAATATTGTTAAGTTTTCAAGCTAAAATATATTTTGATGATATACCTTATATAAATGTCTATGAGCAATTTAACCTACCTAGTCTGGGGTGTAGACGGTAATACTTAGACACTGTTTTTACTTTTTAAATGTGTGACTATAGCCTCTTAGTTCTTATCTCATTGTTTATACTTTTATCATATACCAGGACGAATTCTTGGATCTAGGACAAAGTGTGAAAAATTTGTTTTACAACCCATTTTGAAGATATTTTCATCAGAAGCTAAAACAGTTTAAACTATAATAAATACTTGTAGTTTAGATATTATGTGCTACACTCAGTCAAGGTTTCCGGAACAGGTGAAAGGCAAACCTTTTTAGCCGCTTACTGTTCAACAATGTACTGTTGTTGTTGTTTAACTTGTATTTATATCTATATTATACTACACATGTTATTACCAATCTTATAATTATTTGACCCATGGGTCTGTTAAATAGCTATAAAGACATTATGAAGAACAAACGTCGGACGTATGATTTCGTCCAACATAACAGTTGTTTTGTTGTTTTCTATTTTTAGCAGTTTGTTAGAACTTTTCGAGACAAATCATCTCGTGACACCAAGTTAAATTATAGCGAAAATTCCCGAATGGTTTACGATTTGATGTCTGACGGAGCTAATACCTATAGAAAACACGACCTTATTCTTGCAAAATTGACTGTTCAATCATTTGGTACAGTAATACAGTTTATGTAAAATGCACTATGAGTTAAAGGAAACCACCCAGACATATCAAATGGACGTCAATATAAGGTTTGATGCGCACCTTATTAACATTTATTAGCGTTTGTGACACAGCTCCATCAAACTTATATGAAACATGCACTACGAAATATGTTTGAATGAAATTGCAATTTATAGCATAATCAATGTTAAAATGATGTAAAATGAAGTATTATAATCCTTAGATAAGCCTCCTGTGGTAGTCATTACGTCTGCCAATTAACCTGACAGTCATACTCCAAAACACAACCAGAAATTAACAGTTAAGAACTGTGAAGATAATATCACAAAAGACACACAATATTGAACTGTGATATACTTTCAGACGCTGAATCAGTCTCGATGACCTTGCGTAAAAACTGTTTTTTGTATTTTAATTTACATCATATCACAAAATCATAAATGATGTTTATACTGTGAAATGTACATCGATTTATCATTCGGAGTAAATGTATAACTGCCTCCAGTCATCCTCGACACTCCAGGGGTTACGCTCACTTACGCTCTATACACCCTGTATCTGTAAGGTTCCGGATAAAATTCATAAGTTGAATATCACATCCTGGAATATATCATAGCATAATTGAAGGCACAAAGTTAGCTGTTGGTCTCCAGTACAATACCCTGACCAATCGCTAGGCTGATACCTGTCCTTTGAAGATTACAAACGAGCGATGAGCATGTCCAGTTTTTACCGTTACTCGACCGCGAGATTCTTTTGATGTACATTAATGGATCGAAGTAGTCTTCTTGTCTCATCTACAAAGTGGCGCACACTGAGCCATCCATTTTGCTATGACATATTCCAGGGGTGCAGAGAGCAAAAGTGAGCGTAACCCCTGAATATCAAGGATGCCTTCCAGTTGGCTATCATGTTAAGGTATTAAACAGTGTATCCCTTATTGACACTTAATACTAATTTCCATCTGCTGTACAACATTATTACATATACATTTTTATTTATTAATATACATATTACATTGTGCTTCATGAAGTTCAATATTTAAACAATACAAAATGGGCATCATTAAGGCCTGTGCTAAAATCGTTCATAGTATCTGAATTGGTTAATATTTGTATTTTACTTCATAATGCATACCTGTGTTATATCATTTTCTGTTTTTCGAAATATTAAAGCATGTTGTTAGGAACCCTCATGGAGTTATTTCCCCTGACACATATATCTGCCTTTGAGTTGTGATAAGCTATACTATGTTATTATGTTTACTGTTTGTTACTTCTACATATACAGGTGACACCATAAACAAGTTTATTGTCGTTGCTGTCATAACAACCTATCAATAAATGGTTTTAATGTGCAGTACTTAAAATTTCCTAATGATATAAGTAAAAATATAATTCAGAAATAATTACGATCATTTTCATTAATCACTTACACACATTCTCCAAAGCATTTGTATGAATTATCGATAGCGTTAATAACGATGTAATACGGACATGGTATCCTTTATTGTACAAAGCAATAAATATAAACCACAAAAAATATGTTACATATAACAAAAAAGTAGAAATAACGAATACATTTGTTTTAATATAAATATTTCATATACTCATTTATAATGTTGATGAACATTTAGTCATCAAATAAATTAATATTGAACAATAAGTGTGCACCAAGTTATCAAATACGTTTGTTAATTAACATTTAAACTGATGATGCGCACTGAGTCACAAATCAATAAACATTAACATTGTTGATGAGCAGCTAAACATCAATTAAATAAACATTGACGAGGCAAGTTTTATCAGTTTTGAAAGTTTTAGTTCCGTAATTCATTTTCTAATTACAATTGATGTCTAGGAGATATTAATTATGTTCAGAACACTATTAGTTACCAATGTCTAACTCTAACGCTGTGTGTGACGTACTCTACAAGCGTCACACGGTGGAAACGCCCGCCACCAGAACATAACACACATCACCTGTAGAATATCGGTATGCATACGATAAAGGTGTCACAAATTAAACCGCCTTCTACTAGAGCATCACACACATCAACTGTGGAATCCCAGTCTGGCCCTGGTGAACTTTTACATCAAGTACTCTGTTTGTTGATTATGTTTCGTTGATTTCATCCTTATTATATTTTATACAACTCCAGGAAAGTATGTTTTCTTATAGAAATGATTTATCAACGCTAAAGTCATCGAAAAACAAACAAATTTTCCAATTAGAAACTAACGTTTTGGCAGTGATACTGGTAGCCATACAAGTAATTACGAACATATCCTTCACAGTGGGTACAGGAAGCTTCATTGTGTCAAGAGAGAATTCCTCTTTCACGAGGTGGGAATATAACTTTTACATTTATATATTTTAAATATCAACATCTATCATATTCTTATGATATAATGACTTTGCATATGACAAAAAAAAATAAAAATACACAATATCATTTAATGACAATGCTGGCGGTATTGTGTCATTGCGTGGTGTCTTCTTACAGCGTAGAGCCGGGAAAACCACCAGGGGGATATATCATGATTCTCACAATGTTCAGATCTAGAGTAACCATCATGATTCTCACAATGTTCAGAGTAACCATCATGATTCTCACAATGTTCAGAGTAACCATCATCATTCTCACAATGTTCTGATCTAGAGTAACCATCATGATTCTCACAATGTTCAGAGTAACCAGCATCATTCTCACAATGTTCAGAGTAACCATCATCATTCTCACAATGTTCATGGTAACTGCTGGGCGCACGGATCACGAATGTTACAGTACTTAGGGTTATCATCACAAATCAAACAATATTCAGGATTGCCAATCGGCGGAACCACCACGAGACACAGAATTATGAGAGATGCTTCTTGGTAGAGTTAACATCATAAGTATTCTTACAGTAGAACCATAAGCATCCTAACACTGTTGAATCATAGACACTATTATACTGTAGTACCATAGCATATTCACGTGCTGTTACAATACTGAGAGTTGAATGTCACTGCATATTCTAACGGCATTGCAATATCAAATACCATTGCCAATTCAGCCGTATTATCAAAGAATACATCAGCTAGATCAACTTTACGTCTTTAATATGCACAAAGTTAAGGTCAGTGTACTTATTCGTCGTTGCAATGATGTTAAATAATGCCATTACGATGTAGTAGAAGCAACATGCATAACGTTGATGTAGATTGTATGTGCTTTTGTCTTGATACACGGAAAGCCGCATGTTCTATGAAATACCTCAGTAACAACCATCTCATCACAAAATATGAGCCTTCTCTTCATACCGTGCGAACATTCCCGTCATACAGTTGGAACAACCCATCGTACATTGGGAACAATCCCGACATAAAATGGCATCTATCCCGTCATACAGTGCCTTCTGACGATATGTGATGGTCCTCTATAGTTCCACTGACCTCGTTATCGTCGTTGTCGAAGTTTGAGTAGTCCGTGTGACTGTACATATAGTTGTGTACGATACACATGGCGATGAGTAGCGAGGACTGCAGGAGCAGGACCAGGAAGATGATACCGAGGAAAGATACAGTAAACCAGTACAACACGTAGTCACAGTAATTCACACTCTCTGCGTGATCTGTGTCCACCTTGTGGATGATACCGAATATCCACACGATCCCTACAAACAGAAATTATGGTTGCTTTATTAAAAATGATAAGGAATGAAAACAACTGTGAATGTACCATATATAAGGAAAACATAGTGTCAATAATGACCGTCTGATTTTCTTACTATGTGTTTCAAATATCAATTTTACGTCACGCGGTGGTTTACTCTGATGGTGGACCATCAGTCCATTTGGTTGTCCGTAACCTTGTAAGTTCTAGCACGGTAACATGACATACTAGTTTTAGAATATTTTATCTGCTGTAAGGGTTGTATAGGCATATTTTCCTTTTGACTACATTTCTGTTTCTAAACCCATAAGACATTAGTAGTCTTTCTGTTGATCCTATGTGGATGGAATGGTAATATGGTCAATGCACTGTTTAACTTGATTGGGTTTCTGCATCGAAATACTAAATGTTTTAATGTGTGTTTCCTTACTTCGTATTTTCAGTGATAATTTAATTGTTGTTCCTGTTTCTGACGTAATACCTGCATGATGTCGTAATTGTAATGTTTGAGCCCACAAGGAAATGCTATATAAACATTGAATGTTTTGACAAAAGCTTAATTCATATCTTTGTTTACAAAGATCAAGTTATATAAATATAATAATACCTATTTGGTTGCTAAATTTTGTCTTAATTTATACATTGCTCACTCCAGTTGTCCTTCATCAGGCATGCAAGCAACCAAATATACATTCAATTCTTTAAAAAAAAAAAGAGGAAATATTCAACACCCCCACGTTTAATCACATGGCACCATTTTATAGAGACCTCTCATCTACAAAAACTCCTATATTGCTCATACTTGTCTTATCGTGTCTGTGGATTATCTAGAACCAGTTATCATTTTACACTCATATTTCACAGCTTAAGAGAGCATAACCTCTACGAATGTAATGTCAGAGCTGTTCTAAAATCGAAGTATGTCTTAATGTTGTCGTGTCATCAAGGACAACATACATTCTGATCGTTAGTGACAATGTGATACTCCATTAAATTAAGTCCAATACGAATGATTGAACACGATTATCTAAAACAATTTTGATTGATAAACGTTTTGAATAAATGCATATAGGAACTGAATTGTACACTCAGGAACATATGAATGGACTTCAGCAGAAATGAGCCCTCTCAACATTTTTGTGACACTGTCAATCGTCTTTCTCATAGGCGTCTTTAGCTTAAGTTAATCAATGTTAAGACATGTGGAACGCCAAATGCCAATTTACAATATTTTTCATATATTCATGTTTGAAGAAAGAGAACATCAATGTTTGACAAAGTAAATTTGTATTCATATATCATTATAATATATGTAGTACAATTCGTTTTTAAATTTTTAAGATATATTTTTCGATTGAGAAAAATGCATAAGTATATCATACCACGTCAAAAATATGAATGTAAATGTCACATTCCTTTTGGTTGCTAAATCGTTAAAAACACTTGGTGAATAAGATTGATTTACCTGGTATTGTCCAAAACAAAACTAAAATTCCCAGAATACTGTGGAGAGTTTGAAGTACATCCGGTTCCGTTTCGTCACACGTCTTCCGACTATTGCAGCACCATCCCAACACTTGAAATATTGCCCGTAACATCAGTGCGCATCCTCCAACTGCAAGGAACATAGGGACACATGGCTCACAGGGGCACGCACCGTAACGTAGAATTCCTAAAGTTTATAAAAAATAAATGAAAATATGTTTAGAAGAAAAATAAAGCATTAAACACAAATCTGACACACAAGTTGTTTTCCAATACTAGCGATATCAATTTTCGTGGAACTTGTAAAAATGTACATCATTTCATAATAAGTACATTTATTTTTCACATTTGCCCCCTAAAATTATAGTTTGAGCGTATATGGTTTCAGAAAAGCTACGGTTTGAGCTCGATTGAATAGGAAATATATATGAATTTATTTTCTGAAAGATTTATAAATGTGACATGGGTCATAGTACTGGTTTTGTCATTGGTTGAAAGGTGTGCGAATGAGAAATTTACATAGTCGTCAGGTTTAAATTTTTAATTTGTTTTTAATTTGTTTTCAAGTGTCCGGAAATTTGACATGGAACCTTGCCAATGGTTTTGTGCATAGCATAAAAATGGCTCATAAGATTGAGTCAATGCATGGTTTTGTGATTGGTCTGGAGATGTGACATGAACATGTAGCATAATCCATGGTTATGTCAATGTCCTGGGAAAATCAATACGTGGTACACTTGACGTGTGACGTCAGCGAGCTTAACTTACCGAGTACAATAGCCAGGAGACCGATGATAAAACTGCTGATACACACTGTACAGCCGAGTGCTACAAGACAAAAACATATTCCATTATTGATTCTTAATAAACATTTCTGTAATTGTGGATATACGAACCGATGGCACTTACAACCTTTCTCGTATGTTCAAATTAAACACAATTAGAATGAATTATAAATGTGTATAATTCGTTTGCGTGGATTGATATCTCTGTTCTAAGCTATTTATCTGTTTTTTAATTGCGCACGTGCTTTCAGTGGTATACCACCCCTTATCAACATGTCACGATCCATCCAAACAAATCATATCTCATCAATTCCTATAAAACAGATATTGCCCAAACATCTCCCTATAATACCATCATTATGAGTGGAACCAGTGAGCCTCACACTATCGTGAGGTCACATAACTTGTGTTATGATTATATATATTTTGTTATCATAAAATTGTACATTCGTTACACGGATGTTCGTGTTTATTTGAAGGCATTTCGTAAGCAATTTTATCGGAAGACACTTCAGGGAGCTGTTTTACTGTTAAATGAAAGCTAAGTGTTTCTTTAATACTGTTTACAAACAGGAGTTTGCTCAGAGTTTCACATCCACACAACAGCTCAGGTCATAACGTTACCAATGTCTTTAAAGTGCAATCTCACAGAAATAAAAATCACTTAGGCAAAGCATGGCATTCCTGTCGGTCATATCATTCTGAATACGGGCTAACCACAGGTTTCTAGGGAGACACCTCCGAAAAGAGAGATAAGGAAGAAATAAACAGAAGTAACGAGTGATGTAATGAGGCAACATATCAAAATCATGGTTTTCACATGTCCCGTGAGCAACATTAAAGGTCGGAAATGGCCGATTATATGGACAGCCACAGAAAAATCGCCTCGTACGATCATGTAGAGGTAAATTGTAGATCTATAATTTCCAAAACACCTACAAACAATTATTTTGCTGGTTTGTTAAAACATAGGTTTCTGAAAGTGACGGAGTTAGTTTGAAACATTTTCCTCGAGACATTAAACACTGATCTTAGTGGTCTCGACTGAACGTAAAGTACACAAGGAGAATTTCAATGAAGGACCACAAAAAACGTATTCCGTGGTAACCGATACAATGAATTTATGATGAGTGTTACAGGTTATGTGGTCGTTTCTTTGTACACGTAACACGGCGTGAAGCTGTATATTGCATTCTTTTAAAACACTCAATAGAGTACCAGTGAGCATCTCATCCACACACCGATGTCCAACAACCACGTATTGAGTCAAACGTAACACACACAGATGTCCAACAAGCAAATATTGAGTGGAACGTAACACACACAGATGTCCAACAAGCTAGTATTGAGTCGAACTTAACACACACAGGTGTCCAACAAGCAAGAATTGAGTCGAACGTAACACACACAGATGTTCAAAAAGCTAGTATTGAGTCGAACTTAACACACACAGGTTGTCCAACAAGCAAGTAATGAGTCGAACGTTATACACACAGATGTCCAAAAAGCAAGTAATGAGTCGAACGTTACACACACAAATGTCCAACAAACAAGAAATGAGTCGAACGTAACACACACAGATGTGTAAAAAGCAAGTATTGAGTCGAACGTAACACACACAGATGTCCACAAAGCAAGTATTGAGTCGAACGTAACACACACAGATATCCAAAAAGCAAGTATTGAGTCGAACGTAACACACACAGATGTCCAACAAGCAAGTATTGAGTCGAACGTAACACACACATATGTCCAACAAGCAAGTATTGAGTCGAACGTAACAGACACATATGTCCAACAATCAAGTAATGAGTCGAACGTAACACACACAGATGTCCAACAAGCAAGTATTGAGTCGAACGTAACACACACAGATATCCAAAAAGCAAGTATTGAGTCGAACGTAACACACACATATGTCCAACAAGCAAGTATTGAGTCGAACGTAACACACACAGATGTCCAACAAGCAAGCATTGAGTGGAACGTAACACACACAGATGTCCAACAAGCAAGTAATAAGTCGAACGTAACACACACAGATTTCCAACAAGCTAGTATTGTGTCGAACTTAACACACACAGGTGTCCAACAAGCAAATATTGAGTCGAACGTAACACACACAGATGTCCAAAAAGCTAGTATTGAGTCGAACTTAACACACACAGGTGTCCAACAAGCAAGAATTGAGTCGAACGTAACACACACAGATGTCCAAAAAGCAAGTAATGAGTCGAACGTTACACACACAAATGTCCAACAAACAAGAAATGAGTCGAACCTAACACACACAGATGTCCAACAATCAAGTAATGAGTCGAACGTAACACACACAGATGTCCAACAAGCAAGTAAAGAGTCGAACGTAACACACACAGATGTCCAACAAATAAGTATTGAGTCGAATGTAACACACACAGATGTCCAACAAGCACGTATTGAGTCGAACATTACACACACAAATGTCCAACAAACAAGAAATGAGTCGAACGTAACACACACAGATGTCCAACAATCAAGTAATGAGTCGAACGTAACACACACAGATGTGTAAAAAGCAAGTATTGAGTCGAACGTAACACACACTGATGTCCAACAAGCAAGTAAAGAGTCGAACGTAACACACACAGATGTCCAACAAACAAGCATTGGGTCGAACGTAACACGCAGATGTCCAACAAGCAAGTAAAGAGTCTAACGTAACACACACAGATGTCCAACAAACAAGCATTGAGTCGAAAGTAACACACCCCTTTATTCTTTTTTTTTTAAGAATTTAGAGGAACTGAGAAATTGTCACAAGTGTCATGTGTTCTTACAAAAATGTATAGTATGTTTGACTTTCTGCATCGACTAAATACATTCTGAACTTTTACGTTGTACCTGGGACATATTTTACATGAATTACCAATTTGAGAATAAACGATCTGTACATGTAACAGCCAGACGTTGTCCATTTGTGACGTGATACAGGGTTTTACACACCACTCTGCTCTTTGCTATATTTAACATACACTTTGGAATACTTACGTCTGGTTTTTCAACCTTTTGCCCTTTTGTCACTGATGACTCCTTTTGTGCAGTAAAACTGTCTACTATGGCTTTCAGAATCGGTTTATTTGATTCATAAATAGATGCTACCGTTAGCCACTTCGTGTTTTGGTTTCATGGCAAAATAAAGATTAGAGAGTTTGTGTTCACGACAGATATGTCTATTTTTTCAAAGGAAACGGTACTGTGTTGACCCCTTTACAAATTCTGTACAAACAGAACACGTAAAATAAAGCGTTCTGTCATCTGAAACAGCAATGCTTGTTGCCACTCGTTGCTTCTTGTCCCAAATTATTATTGGATCCAGGACAATGCGTCAACAGACGTAAGCATATTCCAGGCGCTTGAACAACATGCCATAATCAATGACATCAAATACAGCAATTATATTCGTAAGCATTAGAACTGAATATTTTCCTACAATGACATTTTCTTATGAGTAGCGTGGAATGTAAGCATATTGTAGATTGTGCTTGAAGAAAAAATGTAATCAACATGTTTCTGAAGTCATTTTGCAATCACGTTTATAGCAGTTTTGACAAGAAAGCAAGTTCAAGACAGATCGGTAAACCTTCATTTCGTTCTCGTCTAATCCATGTTTCTTCTATAATGAGCGAACGATGACTGTTTTAAAGTAGTGTGGGAAACTTTAATCAAGTTGACACAAGTTGCGGTGTGTGTTGAGGGAGCTGAGTCTAAACGACGAACGCAGATTTATCTGATAGGGACTTCCAGTTGAAATGTAAATGTTCCTGTCTCTGAAGATCACGTGTAAATACTATACCTGTACGTTCTTAGGTGGAGAACACTTGCAAATATATTTTACCTGTACGATCTATGGCGGAGAACACCTGTGATATAAAGGTCATTAAGTCCTCCGACTCCTCGTAAGCTGTGATGACTATGGTACAAAGACTTGCATTCCGGGGCTCCTTGCCTGTAACACAGAGTAACATTGTACATCGTCAGAATACAGTAGACACATGGTGTGTTATGTTAACTGTACAGTACAGTTAATATCGCTCATCTGTGGTCACCGAAACAATGAATTTATAATGAGTGTTACAGGTTATTTGCAATTTATAAAACAAAAACTCATTACAGTGTATTAAGACGTTTGTGAGTAAAAATAAATTCTAATGATATTTAAACTTCTGTTACCAATTGTGGTTTAGAATTAAATATTACACAAATAACATCTAATCTTTCCTCATTTGTGCTTCAATTATTCTTACCGAAATGATAATTGCTGACATGAAAAATCTAAACGTCGGGAATATGTAGACGGCAAATATTAACCTTCAAACATTCGAAACAAATCTATCTTTTCTCAGTGTGTTTTGGTCATGATACATATACTCGTTACAAGTTACATTAAAAATAGCAGCTTTGTGATAACTGTAAACAGTAGGTCCTCTTCAGACAGCAAATACGCCAATAAATAATAAATAAATGTCTGTTACATGTTGTTCCCTGTCGTCTGGGCGACTTGTGAACGTACTTTTACCCACATTAACGTTAAATAACAGCTAACAAGTGTATATGTACCAGCTTGTATTGAGGTGACTTGTATGTCGCTAAATCGGCTTGAAAGTCTGGGTTTTAACCATGTTAACGGGTTATCTGTACTTCCAAATATAGGTGGATAAAAACAGGAATGAAATCGATTCAAACAAATTTTGTCTAACAGAATTCAGAGAGAATGAGCACGTCTTCGGTATCATTTTTAAAGATATATTTTAATTACCAATCACAACATATAATGTTCCTCCATTAAGACTTAATAACCAAAGGAGATTAATGTGACGGCCAATTTTAGATGCATCTTCCACTGAAGCAGTATCAATAACATCACTGTGGTCCACCGGCAACAACAATTCTTGATATGATATTACTTTTTAGCCAATTGAAATATACAAATGTAGTACAGATTTATTGCAACCCTGCAAATGACGTATACATAAATATGAATACGGCCGTAATATGGAATGTTTGAATGTATACATAGAAAATGTTCAATATGAATAAAGTGGAAAGAATATCGCAAAAGCATCTCTCAAAATGATGTATACATAGAAAATGTTCAATATGAATAAAATGGAAAGAATATCGCAAAAGCATCTCTCACAATGATAAGGTTATCGACATCTGCAAAACATCCATGCAACTTCCAGTTTGCAAGTATTGAAATAAATGGATTTTTAATCATACCGTACTTCGGATTTGTAACCTTAACTGGAATCAAATTTTGATCAATTTTGAAACCATAACAATTAAAAAGTTGTATGGCCAGGAAAAGCAACGAGAAAACAGATCCAACATACAAAACCGGGGCTACGTACAAATTCTTCCTCGATCACACAAGGAAATACCTAAAAAAGAAAATACATAAAAAGATAGCTTCAGGAAATCTATAGAAATTGCCGGTGTTTCTAAATCCTGTGAGAATAAGGGAGTCTGGGTTTGAGTGAGAGACAAACGAGGCTAACCAGGAAAGTCGATCAGTGGTGTCATTTAGGAGGGCAAACCGTGTTATATCTAAGTTATGGTGTACGCATGGTGTTTTATGACTTTATTAGGCTTCGACTGTGATATCCATTGTATCTTCATTTATTTTATGGGAATTTTTACATCGTAATGTACTTATACGCTGCTGTGTTCTACATGTCAAAAATACGCTGTCCCATCTATTTATTACTTATGACTCATTCGTAGACCAATACTTAACATTAGGAAGTCCAGTATGGCTTTATTTATTTACCAAGATATAGATGGAAGTGTTGAAAGACGCTTTGTAGCTAAAAGAAACCAATAAAATATAAATATGGAAAAACAATTCCTAGTTTTGTATATAAAGCAGTCTTCTTTTACTTTATAAAAATAGCGTGACCTTGTCTTCGATATAAAACAGTTTTCTCTAAAGCTTCTTCAGTAAATAAAATAATCGAATTCCTTGCTTTGTTTCAATATCTAAATTGCTTGTATTTGGATCCCACGAGAAATGCAAAATACACGGTGGTTTGTCTAGTAACGGAAAGTGACATCATCTAGGGATAAAAAACGCTGCGGAATAACATTGGGCAAAAGTATACACATCAATAACAAAAACGGAATACTGCAAGCGTAACATTTTTGAGGTATCGTCATTTTAGTAATTTTCGATCTTTTATTCTTGCCCTAAAGTCTCGCTGCGCTATTTGATGATCCTGTTTATATATGTATTTTTGTATTGCATATATTATGAGTGCACTAATTTCTCGAAGAGCAATACTGCTAAAATTACGTGATACGCAAAAATTTGTGTCAGCAAAAACAATTACTTTTACAGTATGTATCGATATCAAACCCGTAAAAGTATTATTACAAAAAAGTTTGAAAAGGGGGCAAAGGAAATTAGATATACTTCTGTGCATATACAAGACTTTTCATTAAATCCACAAATTTTCTTGCAATCTAACAAAGTGCGTCATTTTCAGTAAACAATCAAGGTAGAATACATGTTTACACGTACTGTGTATTACGCGGATAAAAAAAATGAAAAAAGTTTCAGAGGATAAACAAGAAGTAATGTACCGATCTGGAATTCGTTTTTTACCTCAAAATTATTAAACTTTGAGTAGAAGTATGGCAAGCTATTAGTACAATACTAATCATTATTATGTCGTTATCCTGTTCTATTATAAAGCTGCAGCAATCTTGATGGTGAAAAGAAATTGTATTTGTTATAACTGTCCTGAATAACAAACGAATGTATCTAACCAACTGTATTGTAGGAGGAGGGGTTGTCTTTTAACATGAAATTGTATTGTTTTATAATTGAACAATTATCTTATATCTGTCTCATATTATATATGCTTGTGTTTGGCTGGGCTTAAATTCGTTCTCTGTATTAAAATGTGTTTTAATTGTAACAGTGTAAAAATGTATATGCTGGACATGTAAATAAAAAATTAAACTTGAACTCTATATAACTATAGTTAGCTCCAAAATCAACACGTACATTTCATCTCCTCATAAGATATATCAGAATGAGATACGGGTTACTAGATAAAGAAAGAAAAACTGAAGGCAGGTTTTGGCGTATGGTACAAATCGATATGTTTACACTGGTTTTTGAGTTCTATTTCAGCAAATGTAACTGAAAATTGGATTTGTCTGTAGCCTGCGGGGATTTTCTAATTTCGTTCTGGAGATTCCTGCATATGAAATTAACAATCAACAACAAAAAAATGTTCTGTTATATCGCCTATTTGTAGGAAACACTTACCGAAATTGTTTGTGCTTTTTGTAATGCGTACTTTAACGTAATGCAAGACAAATTGCGACCTACAGCAAATACGGAAAGACTACTCCCTAGTTCAACTATAAAGTGTCGATCTTATTGAACTTTGATCTCATTTGTATACTTTAGTCTAACAGCGTAAGAAACTTTCCTGATCCCTCATACAGAACGATGTTTTATAAGTTCGTTTTACATATTTGATTCTTGTGATCTCTAATGAACGTCAATGTCAGCCTTTTTTCCCAAATTTAAATTCATCACCATGGACACCCTACTGACCCAGAAGAACAACTATTTTAGTGGATATCAATATTCTCTTTATTGTGAAAACGTCATTTTTTTCAGGGTGTGTTATCGTAAATCTTACAAGTCTTCAATACCTTCGTTTTTAATTTCTTCATTTTATTTCCCTCCACAACAGGATTTAAATCACAGCAAGAAAACGTGTAGTTATATTTATCTATTATATAGGGCTACGTGGGAGTTAAATAGACTAATATACATTGTGCATGGCGCTAATTTGGCAGTCGTGAATTTCACTGCAGAAACATTAAATATCTGACTAAAATGTCAGATATCCTTGCACACTCTCCGTGTAAGAAAATCTGACAAGAATATGTCGATGATTGCAATTTAAGAGACAAGAATCATGTTGCATAACGTTGAGTAAGGTAAAATGTAGATAACACGGTCATCTTGATAAGCGTATTGCATTTTCTGGGAATAAGATCTATACATCCTGAAAATAATCAAGAAAGATACAATGTAGCAACTGATTAAAATGATGTATTCTCTTACCGCATCCTGTAACATAACATGTTGCAGTATTCCAAACAGAGCCTAGAGTAATTTAGAAAAACCAATATCAAAGTAAAGATAAAATCAATGGTGTACGCATCTCAAAACGGATCCGTTTCGGTAATAGCAAATTACTGTCTGTAGTTATTACGAAACATGATATATCATGTTTCCATATAAGCGCAATCTACATGTATGTGTAATATTACACTTAGAAATAAAGTCATAATGAAAACTACACTCTGCTAGTGGTCTACATGTATGTGTAACATTACACTTAGAAATAAAGTCATAATGAAAACCACACTCTGCTAGTGGTCTACATGTGCTATGCCTGTTATATGTATCGACACCGACACTTCAAAATTACTGCAACAAAACTCTTACTCTAAACAAAATCGAGTTATTACATGTAAGGACGAATCCAGTAAATTTTGTTAGAAAATGCATGTGTAATTACGACATAGCGAACAACAGTGTCACGAATATCCCGTACATACGATTTATATTCCATGGCGCTATTTTGTAAAGAGCAATTCACAGAGCGAAACGAAACTAACACGAAAGCCGTTACAGACATGTATACGAAACCGAATTAGCTTCGGTCAATATCTACTTGGGTTTTATGCGATGAAACGCTCAAAAGGAATCGAAATCTTTACTGAATGCTTCCAAATATTTGTCAAGACGAAAGTGGAATGGATTAGCACTTTGGAAAGTGGAAAATTGTGTTAGATATGAGAAATGTTTCGTTGCAAGTACTGTTGAAATCAGGAAATAATGAAAAATAACGACCAAATACCAATGAAATTCAATTGATAGAAGCCTGCATGAAAACAAATGCATTTAAAATAGCG